ATACAACTTCATTTCCTCATGTTGCTCTCCAAACCAAATACTCATGAGTGACTTTATTAGTGAAAGATCTAAGGACTCACCCTGTGGGCATTTTTTCGTGCTTTAATCACATCATTCATCTTCTAAAATGCTTTTAGCTCACTGTAAGAAAAATCTGACTGACAAAGTTTATGTGATACGAGAACGAACTATTCTATCCTAAATTGTGTTCTCACTAGAAATGGTACATAATTTATTGCTCCCTATAAACTTAAAAGTGGAACCATAGTCTTGTCTCCACACTGATATAGCATGGATTTCCAATTCATCTATGGGATCAACCATTTCACTTTAGTGCTTGTCAGCTTTTGTAAGAAAGCTACCCACTTTTTTTTAGACTTTTGTTTTTGCCACTCGTTTTTATAAAATTTTTTAATTGGAGCTCGATTACGAAAATAAAGCTTTGAAAATGCACTTTGCTTACACGCTAACAACTTTTTATCCATAAATAGAATAATTGTATATAGCTTGTGAAATGTCCTTCGTTCTGGGGATAATAACTCAACGATCTAATACTCTCTGCTAATATTACCATTGAAGGGTTGCAACCATTTATCACACTTTCAAAGAAGTCAATCACTGCTATTTCAATGTAACCTAGAATCTTTGGAAAGATCACCATTCCGTATATGGCTAAAGCAAACATATCTAACCCTTGCTCTTTGTTTGCATGTTGCGTTAGAAAATCATGAAAAAATTTCAAGATAAATAGACCTGCCCTTACTTTTTCTTTATATACAATCCACACTCTCTTTGTTACCCATAATGCTCACCAAATTCTTATGGAAATCCGACTTGTATTTCTTGACATATATCTTATCAAGAGCCTTGAGGTGCAGATCTAACAAAGTTGAATACTCTTCGATGGTTGGTGTCATATCAACTTCATTAAAGATGAAACATTTGTATGAAATATCCCAAAATTGAATAGCAACTCTAATTAATTAATTTTCAACATTCATTGCAAAAAGGTATGCTTTGTGTTCATGTTTCTGGCAAAAATCATCTTGTCTTAATGGACCCATTTTCTTTCATACATCAACCAATTTTTTAGATTATTCTATTTGAGAAGGATAGATATTTTTTTAGACAATGTGGAAACATGGCTGACTAGTAAACAATCTCCATTTTCTTCTTGTTGATTTTTTTTTTACTAAACCTTCACCTTATTTGGTGACTCACAATTAGCTAATACAGATGAAGAGCAGACCAGTCATTTTGTGGAATTTATGAAAAAACTTTTTGTTGAAAATTGTCTTTTCAGGCAAATATTCTTTATGCAACTTCATGATACGAGTATGAATCATGCAAAAATGAATAAAAGAAAGATTAGTATACTGGATAAGGAAAAATATAAATAAATAAACAAATTAGAACATTATACACAATACAAGGAATGAATCCTAAGCTTTTGGTCAATTCTAAAGGGTAGGAGATGGCTATCTCTATAGGTTAGGCATTTCTAAAATTCATTATATGTGGTTTTAAAGTTGAAAATCTAAAAGTTTTCAAATTGCTATTTACATCATTGTCTATCACATATTAGTAAGGCACCACAATCCTCACCCATTACAAGTTACAAGCAAAAAAAGTTCAATTTGAGTGAGAATATTTTGCTAGTCACTAAAAGGTAATAAAATCTCATGAAAGCGTAGGTTTTTTACTCCATCCTATAAGGACAACTCAGGTATAGAGCTTATGTTATGCACATGCATATGAATGACATAATAAGCAAAATAAATAAATAAATATCTTGAAAAATCAATTTTATTAGGCTTTTGAATAACACAAATTTATTTGTTGGCTTGATTCTCGACTCGTCCTCAATTGAGTCACCAAATTATCATAACGTTTAGGTTTATGAATCTATCGTTAGACATTGACATAAGGAGTCGTCACCAATCTTTTTTTTATTTAGGTTCGATTGGTCACCTAACTGAATTTATCTCGTTTTAAAAAGAAATCTTAAGTTTGACTCAAGTACCTTTAAAAGGTAAATTCAATGTCTATGAAATCATAACTAGGTCTAAGAGTACGATTACATGTGAGAAAGGTTATAATACCCTCATAACGCCCATCAAAAGATGGTATTAGCTTGATTTCATGTTATTCATTAAACTTTAAAAAGTTTACCAGATAATTAATTATTAAAAATTATTCTTAATTGATTCCAATACTTTTAGCAAAAAATTAAAAAAATTTCTTATTTCAAGAGTATACAAGAAAACTATTGTTTCTCTTGTAGAGATTTCATCGTTAGATTATTTAACATTTAAAAAAATTTCCAAGCAGGAATTAATACTTAAATTTTTTTAAATCTATTTTATTAAAAAATTAATGCTTTTATTTAAAAAAATTGATACTTTCAACTTTTTCTCAAAAAATATCTTTTGAAATTTTTATTTTCAAAGAAAATTGATACTCTCAATTTTTTTTCCAAAAATATCTTTTTTGAAATTTTTTTTTCAAGAAAAATTGATATTTTCAACTTTTCCTTGAAAATTTTTTTTGAAATTTTCATTTTCAAGGAAAATTGATACTTTTAATTTTTTCTTAAAATATTTTTTTAAAATTTTTATTTTTAAGAAAAATTGATACTTTCAATTTTTTCTTAAAGTGTTTTTTTTTTTTTTTGAAATTTTTATTTTCAAAAAAAATTGATACTTTCAACTTTTTCTTAGAGTTTTTTTTTTTGAAATTTTATTGTAAAAAAAATTGGTACTTTTAATTTTTCTTAAAACAACATTTTTTTATCATTCTAGGAAAATCATTGGAAATCTAAAGAATGTTCAATTAAATAATTAAATTATATAAATTTAACCAATAAATAAATAAGCAAATAATAATAATAATAATAAATAAATAAATAAACAGAGTAATTAAGCAAAAATGAAACCTTGGCGCAGCTTGGTTAGGCTCGAACGAAGTGCAGCTTCAGAGACAGACGTGGCTGAAGTGACTTGGTGTGCGGCCCTGCTTAGCAACTCAATAAAGGCTGAGTGAAATGAGTAAGCAAGTCGAGGCGCTATGGGTCGGGTCAGACCTTGAGCGATGCGTGGATCCTGTCCACTTTTGACATCTCAAAACAACGTCATTTCACATCAGTATAAAAGGCAAGAATTTCCTTTTTTCTTCAAATGTTTTCTTGTTTTCTCTCTCTACCTCTGTTATTTCTCACTCTAGGTAATTTTTTATCATCATTTTCCGGCGAATGTTGCCAAAAAACTCATTGATAACTGGCCTGTCCTCCAAATTCTAGAAATGGTTTGTCAAAAACTAAGATTTTGAGCTGAAAAATCATCTAAAAACTCAAATTACGTTAGAAAATTCAACTTGATTATGAAATTTTCATAAAATTTCTAGAAAAATGCTGAAAAAATCCCATAAAAAACTAATCCTCTAATCAAAACAATAAATCCCCCGAAACCTCCTTCAAAAAGTTCTTCGAAAAATTTTCCCTTTGACTACTCTCCTCCTTTCTGTGTGTCCCTCTTGTGATTGCTGGATGGTTTATATAAGGGTTGAGCATGGGATTGAATGAGGGTTTAAAAATCAAAATCCCCATACCCTCTCATCCGTTTATCATCGTTTAAAAAAAGAAATTCCTTTTTATCGTTATTTCAAAATCCAAACACCTAATCTTAGAGTTTTGTTAGGATTAAAATTTTGTTTTTATTTATTATTATATTTTTATTTTGTTATCTTATCTGAAAGCTCATCGAGAAAAACTGATTCGAAAGGTGGGCGTCTACACTAAGTAAGATCAATTATAAGATCTCCAAATTGCAACTCCTGATGAGAAGTATGTTGGAATGATTAAATTACGACACTTCAATTGTTTCCTGTTAAGCTTTTCATTTTTCAACAACTAAAGCAACAAGGGAGGGTTTGAGGAAATCTAGTATTAGTATTTTCAAAGATTTGACCTTTAAGCTTTTCAAAAAAAAAAAGATTTGACCTTTAAGAACAGTATTCATCTTAGGTGATGGAGCTTATCTCTTAAACTTAGTTATTTTTTTCAATCAAATATCTTGCTTGGGTCCTTATCATTCTTTTTAATTTCCGTTCTTTTTCAGTTATTTAGTTCATCTATAAGGTGTCACTTTTATCACTCAGTCACGGAAGCAAAGGCTATCCCTTAAAGTTCACTTGTGTTTTGGTTGAAGGTGTATTCTTAATAAACAAAACACTTGGGAGTAGAGTTCCTTTCCTGATCTTAGGGGTTACTTCTTTTCATTTCAACTCTGGAACTTGCTTCTTCAGCATTTTACACCATAGCTCCTGAATTGCAAGGTAGAAGAAAGGAAGAGGAAGAACATCCAAAACTAGCTAGTGAAGTAGGATACTAATAACTTTGGACTTTTAGGCGGTGAATGTGTTCAAAGTGATAATAGGCAAGATCATGAGTAGTTAATGCAACCAATATGCGATGATAAGGTTAACCGATAAAAAGGAGATTGAGGTCTGTGATTTACAGGTTGTTATTCTCATTTTACAGAAAATTTAGCAGTTTTTATTTTGGCCAAGAAACTTTTCCAGTTTAGTTGCCATTCTCACTTTCTGAGATAACAATTCAAGTTTTTACAATTTCTTGCTATTAAAATTTTCTGATATATGGTTTCTACACTGAAGTAGTCTTCTGCCATTGTGTTTTCTGCTTCATCAAACTGTGTAAGGATGCAATGCCTTATGCATGCACTCTCTTTAGGCCAATTGAAAGGAATCTTGAAGACTTAGCATGGCATTTTTGCCACATCAGATTGTAAATATAAACAAAAAAGAAAAAGGAAGTAGCAGTACACATAAATGTTTGTACGGATTATGGGCAAAGCAGATAGATAGACTCAGAAGTGAGCTGTAATTGCCTACTAAGAAAAGAAGTATTTTTAATCCTTTCATTGCTTTATTTTCATTCTTTTATGCTTTGAGAATTCCATTAATCATCTTTATCTGTTGTGCAGCATGGAGAGGATCCTTGAACGGTATGAAAGATATTCTTATACAGAGAGGCAACTTGCTGCAGAAGAAATTGAACAAAATGTAAACCCCCCTCCCCTCCCTAAATGAAGAAATTTCCAAATTCTAAAAATTTTCATGCATGCATCCGTTCGTTTTTGCATCCGTCTTGCACATGAGTTGCTTTTATTATATTTCAAATATATGAGGATAACAATGTGAAAGTAATCTTAGAAATGTGACTGCCAATTCAGCTGGATGACATTCTATGAAATGGATATAATTGCTTGTGTCCACGTTTTTACTAATTCTGTATCCCCAAAGGAAATAACATATAATTTATATATGTTTTACAGGGAAACTGGACTCTGGAACATGCAAAACTTAAAGTCAGAATGGAGGTTTTACAAAAAAACCAAAGGTACTAAATTGATTCCAAGGTTTCAAAACTCAAATGTATTTGGTCACCTTCAACCTCAAATGGAGAAAACAAGTATCTTGGTTTTTTTTTTTTTTTTTTCCTAAAAATTTTATATTTGTAGGCATTTTATGGGAGAAGATCTCGAGAATTTGAGTCTTAGAGAGCTTCAAAATTTGGAGCAACAACTTGATTCTGCCCTTAAACATATTCGGTCAAGAAAGGTAAAATCACTTCAAGAAGATAATGTGCTTTTGATTCTGCAGCTTAGGCCTAAAAAATAACTTGGCCTTTGAAATGTTTCACTTACAGAATCAACTCATGTTTGAATCAATTTCTGAGCTTCAGAAGAAGGTATGCCATGGTTGCTCATACGAATATCTTACCTTATCTATAATTAGAAGCCTAAACCAGTCTCTTAGTAATTTACTTTTGCATGACTTTATACATCCATGGAAACAAAATTTGTCTACTTTTTACCAAAGCAAAAGTGTCGAAAGCAACTTTGTGTGTATGATATTGTCTTGGTAACTACCTTGGGCTCTTGGTATATTATATGAACTTGAGCTATGGTACATATTACCTTTTTCATCCATATGCAGGATAAAGCATTGCAGGAGCAGAATAACATCCTTGCCAAGAAGGTAAAAATTAGAATTTATATACACTAATGCGAAATCCATGATCCTGCTCCTGTACTGTTCAGCTTCTTTCTTGTGTAATAAGTAGTAAAATGTTGTTGAGCCGAAAATAGGTGAAGGAAAAGGAGAAGACACTTGTCCAGCAGGCACAATGGGAGCAGCAAAATAATTGCCAAGACCCATCTTCCATGCTTCTGCCACAGCCAATTCAGTCCTTGAACATCAGGTGCTTTCTCTCTCTCTCTCTCCAAATGAAAAACTGTTGGGGGATTGGAAACAGATCTACATCTCTCCAAATACCTCAATTTTCTCAAAATGTCATGTATTGAAGTCATTCAGTGACTTGGTGCCATGTCTAATCTCAGTAGAGTACTAAGGTAGGTCAGTTAATGCAATGTGCAGTGGCACCTATGAAACAAGGAGCAGTGGAAGGGAGGAGGAAGGTGATCCAGCACAACATCACGCCACCAATGCACTCTTGCCACCTTGGTTGATTCGCCACCTTGAATAACTGAATCGAGTAAAAGTCCTTTCTTTAGTATGTATGTAGTTTTGAATTGATGCATATTTATATCTGCCACAGAGTGATATGTGTGACTAGCATCTGTGTATCCATTGATGTAATTATTAAGTAATGCTGTGTTGATATGAAATGTAATAATAATAAAAGAAAAAACATAAATGCAACTATAATTACAATTTGGGCTGATATCCATCAGATCACTTTTACAGATGAAGTTATAAACTAAGGAGCCAAGGACACAAATGTATGTAATTTGGACGAAAAGGGGCTTACTCATGTATAAATGTTTGCATAGTTATACATGCATGCATAACTATGCATAGTTATTTCATTATTGTTAACATATTTGGGTTTTGTTTAGTTGATATTTAATTAATTAATTTATTGTTAATTAGTAACTAAATCTATTCATGGGTAGAGCTTAGGTAAAAGTTTCAAGTTTGATATTATTTAATTAATAAAAATGTTTTTATTTTATTAATTTTAAAATATATCTTAAATATTTTTTAAATATTTAAAAATATTTTCAAACCTTTCAAACTCCGTGAATTAGGTTGGGTAACAAGAAAGGTTTCAAAGGTCAATTGAATCAAAAAGCATTGTAACAACTCCCATACTTGAGCATACTCTTGAAAATACCTCTTATAATTTTTCAAAGCTTTCATTCTAGCTCATGATTTTCATCACTTCAAATGTTTTTCTATAAATGCTCCGGTAAATAGCATAGAAAAGTCTCCCTCAATTTTCTATTGATGATATTTTTTGAACCAAATATACTCATATGAAAAATGATTTTTTTTTTATGATATTGATGACATACTCCCACAGATTTTCATTACAGAACTAACAATTGAAGTTTCAGAAGATAATCCAAGAGTTCATAACCCAGATGCTAGGGATGATGATCAATAACAATCTTATCATTTTCCATCTTATATTTTTTCATTCATTTCAAAGTTTTTAGTGTTCGCAATTAATGACATATCTCTTTCTAAATGGCTTTCAAGATTTCAAGAGTTTCTAGCTTAGGAACTTGTTGAATTACACTTTAATACTAATATTACAATGACTATGGTTTTAATCAAATTTGTCCCTAGACTGATTGAACCCTAAAAAATTTTGAAATAATATTGATGAATATAGACAGTTACAATTTATTCAATGCCTAATAATCATAGAAGTTATATTTTAATTTTCGATAATATTTTATGGCCAAGAAACTCATCAATTAGACAAGAAGAGAGCAATTTTTCAAACTAATATGTTGTTTACTCCATCCAAAAGATCTTGACAAACACTACCAATAATTTTCACAATACTTTTACATTAATGGTGGTTTTGATGTTGTCAACCTAAAACAAGCCTTCTTCAATTCTGTTCTAAAAGAACTTGCTTAACATACAAGAACTCAGTTTAATCTAAGGTCTCTTGATTTAATAACTATGAACCTTTGTGATATCTATAAAATTATGATGAGAGCCATTGATAAGATTTGTAAGGAACATAAATACATTGTAGATTTGGTAAACAACTCTAGAAAGATGGATAGACCATATTCTTATTCATCAACAAGTCTACAAATCAAATATTCTTCCAAAAACTCCTCATGACTTTGTTAGCTAAAGAAAAGGAAACATTTCAAAAAGTTTAATGTGTCAAGAAACTCCAAAAGCCTTTATCCTTCCAAAAATAGTAAATTCTCTAGAAAATTCCAAAAATTCAAGTTTGGCAAAAAAAAAAAAAAAAACTTGAAGAAAAAATGCAACAAATATTTTTTTTTTCGGCAAGTCAAGACATTTTGCAAGAAATTACTTAAAGCCTGACAAAAAGTTCGTTAAAATGATACAAGATATTGCAAATATCTCCGATATTAATATCTCGGATGGTGAATAGACTCATCAGTTGTTTATGATCAAGCAATATGGAGATGATTCAAATACAAAGTCAAACGAATACTCAGATGATCATGAATGTTTCGATTACATGTCAATCCAAAAACTCCAAAAGATCTAAACCATTCAACCTCCAAAAGTACCTTTACGCCCTGTTTAAATCTTTACCCACAAACTTTCTTCTTATCAAAGTCACAGCTTTCTTTGACACTGGTGCAACTTAAACAAAAGCCAATCCCTTTGTTTTACCCAAACCTCTTTGAAAAAAATAAAAGACTTTCTTTAAAACCGTCGATGAGAATGTTTTCTTTATAGATTTTGTTAGCAACCATGTTACCCCTCAGATATTTATAAGTTGTCAGATAACTTAAAGAATTTTAAGATCATCACTTCCACAAAAGGACCTAGTTATTGGTTTTGATGTTATTATCAGTGTGCCAGGTTTAAGAATCAGTGGAAAAGGTATCAAGTTTGAGAGTTATTTTCAGTCATGAAAACACCTACCTAACCTTTTCACCATAACCATCCAAACAAATTTCTTCCAAGAAATCAAGCAAAAGATAATCCAAATCTCATGTGTAGACCATCATTTAGAATTCCTTTAAAAATGTAAAAATCCACTTTGGCAAAACCCAAAATTTTTCATAACCCTTTCTTTCGAAAAATATAAAGATACCAATCCTACAAAAGCTAGCCACTTAGGAATGAATCCAGATCATTTGAAATTAGCTATTGAAAAACGTTCACAGCTCCAAGGTCAAAATTTGATTGAACCCATTTTTCTCCTTTGGGCATGTGAAACATTTTATGTCAACAAAATATCATAACAACTTCGTACAAAGTTAAGATTGATTATTAATTACAAACCTCTTAATCTTTTCTTTGCTAATAATAAGTTTCTTTTTTCCAGTAGAAAATTATTGTTCGCAAACTTGTTACAGGGGAAAGTTTTCTTAAAATTTGACCTCAAGGTAAAATTTTGGCAATTAGGTATACATTTACATGACAAATACAAAATAGCATTTGCATCCCTCAACATTATTTTCAGTGGATAGTTATGCCTTTTAGTTTAAAAGTATCTTTTTCTTTGTTTTAGAAGGCGATGAAAAAAATCTTTGCTTTAATCCTTGATAATGCACTCATCTACGTTGATGATTTTTTTTCCTTTTTTATTCAAATTTGACAACTTATGCACAGTTACTCAATAAGTTTCAAATGATTGTACAACAATATAGAAAAATGATGTTAGAAAAAAAAGATGATAATCGGTGCTACAGAGATAAATTTCTTTGCCATGCATTTAAAATATGGCCAGTATATTGCTTAACCCCACATTGCTCAGACACTTGAAGATTTTTTTGATGAAAATCTTTCAAAAAAATAAGTGCAACAATTCCTCGACATAGTCAATTACATAAGTGAACTTCTTTCAGACTTTACTCAAATTACCCATCATCTCAAACAGATGTTAAAAAAGAACCTCTTTAGTGGTCCTAAAAAACACAGTCAGTGAAGCTATTCAAATTAAAGTCAAAATCTATTCTAACTTTAAAGATTCCCTCATATGAAAAAAGAATTTTGTAGATAAATGCAAGTGATAAATTTTGGTCAGCGACTCTCCTCGAAGAAAAAGATGAAAAAAGATAGATATACGGATACAAAAATGATAGATTCAAATATTCAAAAATCTACTATCGTTCTACACTAAAAGATATTTTAGTAATGAAATATGGAATCCAAATATTTGAATTTTGTCTTATTGGATATCATTTTCTCATGGAACTAGACATGTCAGCTTTTAATCAGATGCTTAATTAAAAAAAAAAATAGATGTCAAATGCACAGTTACTCAAATTGTCTTAATGGTTTTCTAAGTACTCCTTCACCACAAAGCATATAAAAAGAAAGGATAATGTTCTTCCATATGTTATCTAGACCTCTTCAAAGTTCTTTAAAGATCATTCTTATCATAGCAATGATGAATCCTTCATCTTTTTATCAACCTCTATCCTCACAAAATCTTTTCATACCCTCCTCAACAAAATCTCACCCTCTTAATGAATTGATATTCCTAATGAATTTTTCAACCTTCCAATTGAACAACTTCCTCTAGAGTTACCAAGATTGATTGCAACCAAATCCCTTGACCTTAAAGCCCCATACCTTTCAATCTAAAATACTGTAAAATTATTTTGACACATCCATTCAGTCTTTTTGAATACACTCAGACTATCTTTTCATCTATCCTTTCAAATTTTTTGACCCAATTTGGCTCTTAAAAGAAACTATTTATTTTATATGGTACCTTTATCACATTGCCATAGAGTTTTCCTTTATCATCTCAAAAGGTTACTTAATATTTTCTATAAGTTAGTCCTCAATCCAAAAAAAAACCTGATGAACCCAGTCACCAATACCTCAAGTTTTTATTCAATGGTTTATAGCTATTTCTACGTGGAAACATTGGATAAAGACCTATGAAAGATACAATAAAGCCTTTTATGTTCCTCATATTATTTTGATTTTTCACAAGGCATACAATTATTTAGCAATCGAACCATGGTATTTCTCATACATAGTAATTTATAACTCATAAGATTATTCATTATCAGATTCTTTATTTGATCACCCTACTAAATACAGAGAATTTCAAAGACAGATATGTTAGATAAACCATAAAATTTCAAGTCAAATTTAGCCAAAGCTTTAAAATGATGTTCCATAGGGTAACTACCTTGCAAAATATAATTATCAACTTAAAATTGACAAAAAAAATGTATTAAACTAAATTCAATGATGCGTGAAAAGAAACCTTTTCTGACACTACTAGATACGAACTTAATTATGCTAGACCAATAGATTGAAACCCTTATTGGACTCCCCTTGAAATTTTTAAGGAAACAGGCTGGCAAGATTCACAAGATACTTTTGACCTGGATGAAAATTTCAATCCAGACCAATGTTAGAAAACTTTGGTTATAATCCAACTCCAGGTGTAGACAATTCACATTTGAACCTCTCTCTAAAGCACACCCAGCATTATATCAAATAATAATGCTCTAGTTAGTACTTCTTTTGTTTCAGTCCAATTATGTATAATTATGTGTGTTACTTTATTTTGAAGGCTATATAATGACTCCAAGACAAGTTTGGTGGTGACACGTCAATTCTAGCTTTGCTTTTGTCAACATGAATTGTGGTGTTAACTTCATGTATTATTATGCTTTACTTTTGTCAAGTCATGTTTTAAGTCATTTTCAAGTTAAGTCTACTTTATTAAAAATGTTTTGATAGAGGAAAGATTTCTAATCTTTATTAAAGTTACTTTATTATAGTTACTTTATGTTAAGTCATCGACCATTGTAATCATGTCAAGTCCTATTTACTTTTTTTTTTTCTTATATAAGTTGTAAATTACTTTTTATTTACTTTGCTTTTTTTTCTTATATAAGTTGTAAACTATTTATTAAGAAGTATCCTCAAGTTAATCCTATCTTTGTAAGAAATCCTCTAAAATATAAGCATGTTTTTCTAAATTTTTCCCCTTTTGGTGATTACTTCTTCTTCCCTAATCTTTAGTTCAATGTTCTTTCTCTATATCATGATTTGCAGTGATACAAGTTAGTATGCTCTACAGTTGCTATAGTATTATGAATCCTCTGCATCAGAATTCTTGTAAAGTTGTAAACAGGCCATTGATCCATTTAATAAGGCTAAGTTATTATTTCAAGGAATATTGAAATAAGCTACTATAGTGAAAGCATAGTTCCATAAAAGTTAGGCCACTTTGCTTGACGTTTATGCCAAAAAGGGCGCTTAGTGTTGAGCACAGGCTAAAATACATTGGTTTATGCCTTAACTATGGACTACTTAGTTTTAGTATCTCCTTGATGCAGGCTATCGATCCGTTATGATATAGAATAAGAACATCGAACTAAAGACTAAAAATTAAAGAAGAAGAATGAATCACAAAAGAAGTTTAGAAAAACATACTTATATTTTATAAGATTTCTTACAAGGATAGGATTAACTTGAGGATTTCTTACAAAGATAGGATTAACTTGAGGATACTTCTCAAAGAATTAGTTTACAAGGAAAAGTAAAGTAAATAGAACCTAACATGATTACAACGAGTCTATAACTTAACATAAAATAACTTTAATAAAGGTTATGAATCTTTTCTTTATCAAAGCATCTTTAATAAAGTAGACGTAACTTAAAAAGGACTTAAAGTATGACTTGACAAAAGTAAAGCATGACAATATATAAAGTTGACACCAAAGTTAATATTGAAAAAGTAAATGTTGAGTTGACATGTCACCACCCAACTTGTCTTGGAGTCATCATAGAGTTTTCAAAATAAAGTAACACACATAATTATACAAAATTGGACTGAAATAGGGGAGGTACTAACTGAAGCATATCATTTGAAAGAATGCTAGGTGTGCTCTGGATAGAGGTTTAAATGTGAGTTGTTTGCACCTGAAGTTAGATCATAACCAAAGTTTTCTAACTATTGATTTGCATTGAAATTTTCATCTTGGTCAACAGGATCTTGTGAATCTTGACAGTATGTTTCCTTAACAATTTCAAGAGAATCCAAGAAGGGTTCCAATCTATTAATTAATATTTTACAAAAAGAAAAAAAATAAAAGTATAAAAAATTTAACCACTTTTAATTTTGCCTGTTATAAGATCAACATGACAACACAAATGAAATATGGGTTTGATCCTAAATAGATTTTGTTTACAAGTGCCTCAAAATGGTTAGCCACAAAACAAAGGCATGTCGTGCTTTTTTTGAAGATGTGGTGCTTGAACTGGACAATCTTATAGCTGCAATATATATATATATATATATATATAGACACACATATCATCAACCACTGCTAGTCTAATTACATGCATCTCTAATTGTGAAGCTGTTCAATTACAAGTTTATGTAAAAGAAAAAAAGAAGTATGTCTACCTCTATAATAATATTGTTGTGTGGTTGGAGTGACAGCATAATTAATATTTTGGACAAACTAACTGAAATATATAAGAAAACAACCACATTTACATTAATTGAAGAGACAAAAGACTGAGAACAGTTATGTTGAATTTTTAATTTAATGATTAAGATTTAATTTTACCGATTTTAAATACATATAATATATTTAAAGTTGATATGAAATAAATAATTGTGAGAACAAAAAAAAAAAGTAACTTTTAGATCATTAGAAAAAATAATACGAAAATTAAGACCATATTATTTATAATTATTAAAATATAATAAATTAAATTTTATATAAAATCCATCAAAATTATATATGAAATTTATATTTAGAAATGATAAATTCATATATAATTTTTTATTACAATTAAACAATTGTAACGTTATTAAAATAATTATAGTGAAATCGACGGAATTGCAAGTAAAGTCAAAGAGGGCATGCAAGCGAGTCACTTGGCAATCATGTTGCGTTGATTGGCTTCTGGAAAACTAAATTAACAAATGGAGACATTATTTGGACTAAAATTAGTAAATTTCATAATTGCAAACAAAACCCAATGCAGCGTGTCACGTCTGCCTTACATAGCAGCACATAAAGAAGTTGACTTAATTAATATCCATTTTAATTTCATTTAAATTTTATGTATAATTAACTGATTAATGATCCTTACATATAAATACAAATATATAAATACGAAAAAGCATCCATTTACATTTATATTTTTATATTAATTTCAATAGATTTAAGAATAAAATAAATAAATAAATTTAATCTCATTCATTGGATTTATTAAAATTAATAGTTAAAAAAAGTATAAACCAAAAAAAAATTTATATTAATGTAAGTTAATATATATATATAGCAGATGTATTAATTTACACTAGTATTAAATTTTTTTAGTTTTATATTTTTTTAACCATTTCAATAGATCTAAGAGAAAAAATTAATTTTTTTAATTTATCTCTTTCATCTCTTAAATTTATTGAAATTAATAATTAAAATATATATTATATAATAGGACTTGTACATCCACTATATGCATATTTTATAAAAAGATGTCTTAAAAGATAAGAGAAAGTTACATTATTAAATATGGTAATTTTAATTAAAAAAGTGGATAATTTTTTTTAAATGTGCTTTTATAAATGTAGTAAATAACACATACACATCCTTAATTTTATAATTCTTTTATTGTTAGGATATTGATTATTAGTAATTGAATTGTTGTGTTAGTAGATAGACTCATGACATTAATTTCAGTCAAAATAATAGTGTAAACTAATTCTATGCAAACCCACTGTTATATTAATTAAATTTAATAATTAAGATAAAATTAAAAGAATAAATTATAAAATTTTAAGGAGAAAAAAATGTGGAATGATTACGTGTATTAATTAAACCAATTGCCTCTGGTTTAACTAAGAATAATTAACTATGTTTTTACCACACATGAGCTTAACCGTGGGAAAAGAAAATTAAACAGACAATTGGTTTAATAAATGAAAAAGAAAAATTAAAAAGTGTGATTATTCAATTAATGGGTTTAATATTATTTTAATATGTGATAATATTAAATGTTAAATTCTAATCACTAAAATTAATAACACATAATTGTTGGCAATAAGGAAAAGTATTTTATTTTTTTATGAAATTACAAATATAAATTATAATTATAATCAAATATTACATCATTTAATAATCAAATAAATAAACTAACCAACAAATTAAAATATAATAATACAAATTCAACATAAAATTTAATTAAATCCACACATAATAAAATTTAAATTAAAAATTTTATCTTCAGTTACTTGATTTAGTGAGCAAGATAACTTTAAAAAAGACATCAAAGTCGGGATTCGAATCTTAACTTTTCTCTTTCCTTTAATGTAAGACTTTGTCTCCTTGAATGATAAAAAAAAATTAAAATTAAAATCTCAAAGTTTTAAAATATTTTTTTGTCATTAAATCAAAGCTTTATTGGCTAGAAGCATCGAATAAGTGGCATTCCATATAGCATAAAATTAATATGCAAATAATAAAAAATGAAGACTGAGTTTTGCTGATTAAGAAAAAGATGCAAGACAAAGGATAATCAATCATCACCATTTTCTTGCAAACGTGTGGAACCAATTAAAAGAATCGGTCTTATCTTAAAGGTCTAATTATCTCAAGGACTTATATTAATTGAAAAGATACGCATGGCTCCAAATCAATTGCCTTGCATCTTCATGCCTGGCACGTCCCGGGAAATGCCCCACCACAAAGAAAACAAAAGAAACAAAAAAGAAAATAAGAAAATGAGTAATGAAGATTTCGCTGCAAAGTCAACACCAATGCCGACGTTTATGACATTATCATACACAAACTTTGTCCCTTGTCCTCCATAAATTCTCATATATATAGCATTTTCCCACCCAAATTTCAACTCAAAAAAAAAAGGAAACAATGGGTCGATCACATTCTAGATCACCAAAATTGAGCCTTAACCGGTCAATGGCTCGAGTTCGTGTCCGCTCACCGTCTCTCAGGGGAAAATCAGCCTCTGATTGTATGGAAAATGATCAGGAAGTGGAGTTCTTAGGTAAACAAGAGGCTGACAACCTTATCAATGATGAGGCTGGAACTGAGTCTGGAGGTGGCAATAAGGTTATGGTGGTGGTTGATTCAAGTCTGGAAGCTAAGGGAGCACTTGAATGGGCATTATCTCACACTATTCAAAGTCACGACACCATTGTTCTTCTGCATGTGGCCAAGCCCAGAAACAGAGGTTAGACTTAGATATATAATAAATGTTAATCCATATTATTAGAAACTCATTCAGTATTTCAGATTGAAGTTCATAAGAATTTACAAAGTTATTTTGATATGCAGAGTCGTCCAATAGGAAGCGTAATCCAAGGATTTATGAACTGCTTCACTCAATGAAAAATTTGTGTCAAATGAAAAGGCCAGGGGTAAGCGCAACTTCTCTGTAATTTTTTCTGAGTTTCAGCTGTTACTATAAAAATTAGAAAAAAAAGGTTATTTGATCTGATTTTTTGTCCGTATTAGCCTCATTTGTCGAATTAAAAAAACTTCAGTGATGCTATGATTAACCTTTTGATGCTTTGCATGGGAATAGGTCCAAGTTGAGGTGGGGAAGCTTGAAGGAAAAGAGAAGGGTCCAATAATTGTGGAGGCAGCTAAGCAACAGAAAGTGTCGCTCTTGGTCTTAGGACAAAGGAAGAGATCAATGATATGGCGTTTAATGAGGAGATGGGCAGGAAAGAGGGGTGGCGGCGGCGGAGTTGTGGATTATTGCATCCAAAATTCTTCGTGCATGACAATCGCAGTTAGGAGGAAGAGCAACGAGCTTGGTGGCTACTTGATTACCACAAAGCGTCACAAAAACTTTTGGCTTTTGGCTTGATAGCTCAACTTGTCATCGCTTATAATTATTTTGTCCTGGGTCATTTGGAAAATTCAGGCCCAAGGTTAATGTTCTTTTTTCTTTGAAGAAGAGAGATTCAAATTTTACAAGAGATATATGCATGAAAATGCTTGCCCATGTAGTATTTTTTTTTTTTTTCCAAAAAATTGAGCATACTTTTTATGCAGTACAGTAAATGGGGCATCACAAATAAATCATTGTAATTATAAACTGTACAGAAAATAAACATGGAGGCCCTCTATATCTTAATATTCAGGGCAAACAGCCATGACAGATCCACATTTAATTCCTAGACGTTCCAGGACCCAATCCCACTTCCCCCTAGCTCCATTTTTCAGCTCAGTATAAATCAGTTTGAAAAGCTACAATTGTGTATACATCATGAGTCCATGGCTTTCACTTTAATGTACCTTGGTAAGACTCAAAAATATAACCTTGTCTACTAGCAAAGCGGTGCAGCTGATCATAACCTGCAAGTACTCCAGCCCCTGCTACACCAAGAAGCATGTTTGCAGTAACTCCTCGAAATAATGCTGAAAAACCCTCAAGTTGAACAATCTCACGAAAAGCATGCATAGAACTGCTATACTTCACGGACTGCCCAGAGGTTAGCATCATTCGCCGTCGAACAGTGTCAAAGGGATAGGCACACACCCCAGAAACTGAGGTGATACTCCAACCCAAGAAGAAGCTGGCAAAGAAATTCCCCTGCAATGAACAAAAGATTAACATCTGAAGTTTGGACATAACATCTTAAGAAGTAGATATGATGCAAAGTAATTTGATGTACTCAGCAATTAAGAGTGCTATGATCATGACTGTTTTAATTGCAAAAAGCCAACAACTATTAACTATCCTAGACCAATCCAAAAAACAGAAGGAAAGAAAACTATCCTAGAAGAAACATCTCCAGTGTTTTCACTCCCTCTGAACAAGAGTTATCATGAGAATAAGGTTCTGCAGGAAAGGACTGAATGCTCACCTCAAGTGGCCCTACCAAAATTATAGGCTTCATTGTGTCATAAATCCCAAAGTACATGCCACGATACAGAGTAATCCCCATGATTGAAGCCCCAAATCCTCGATATAGGCCCATAATGCCATCACTTGATAAGGTTTTATGGTATACATCTAGTAGCCCTTTGAACTGGCGTTGACTGTTAATTGAACACCCTTTGGTATCAGTACCAAGCCTAGTACGTGCATAATCCAAATGATACAAAAGCAATGATGTAGTTGCTCCAGCAGCACTCCCCGAAGCCACATTTCCAGCAAACCACATCATGTAACCATCCTTCTCTTTTGAGCGCCCAAAAAAGCTTTTGAAGTAACCTTTGAATGCAAAGTTGAAAGCCTATGGATAATCGAACATCTGTTAAGTAACAAAATTAGGCAGGACCAATATATGCAAATGTAAAATGCAATAATAAGAATAAAGTGAAAAATGTCCAACTTATAAATGATAACAAGATGTTTCACATCATTATGATGTTTATCAGCAAGAGATATTATACATTCCAGTACAGCCATCAAACAAACAATTATCAGATTCAGGACCAAAGCATTCACTTGTTCTAGAAGATTAAGCCCAAAAACTACCATATAACACAGGCTTGATAAGGAAATAAAAAGGAGCCATGTTCAAATGACCAAAGATTGATTTACTATTTCCTTAGGTTGAAGAAGCAGAACCCTTTACCAAACAAATAGTGAGGAAACTAGAAGTCTCACCCAAAGAGTTAACTGGTTTTCTTTCTTCCATTTAATTCCTGTCTATGTCTCTGACTAAAATGTAAAAAGAAGATAGAGTCTCTCTGTAATAAACTAAAAAGGAGAAGTTCTTTTGTCAGCAACCTTCCTGTCATAATAGGTAAAGAGATTCTCCTTTATTTGTAGTTTGTCTCTTCTCTGCCAAAGACAAGGAAAATTCAGGTCGTCATGCTGTCTTAGAGTGGGTATGTACATCAGGAAGATCCATATCCAATTATTTCATCAGTTCTAAGTGTCTAATTACTAACCAAGTATCCTTCAAGTACAACGTGCAGACATTAAGTTTTCCCACCTTAGAATTTTACAGAACATACATTACAAGGATAGGATCTTAAAATTACTCCATCAATGAATAGCATAGAGCACCTTCCCCACAAACATATGAATGCCCATAGTCCATAGTAGATTATGGCACAGAAAAATCTAAAATGCATGACATATAATAACACTCCATGAGTGAAACCTTGAAATAGAAGAACACGATAATGGTTTTCCCTACATTGATGAAGTCTACAGTGGCAAGCAGATCTCAGCCAAAGCTCACAAAGTAGTTTTTAACATAAAGATTGATTCTTGAAATAGTCCATAAACGATTTCAACACTTCAAAAGATATACCAATTGAGACCTTGCCAAAATCCTCAACAACATTATTCAAACAAATACCCAGCATTAAGGACCAATACAATGGCAAGAATATAATCCAGCAATGAAAACAGAACAATTTCTCTAAGAATTGCCTAGTGTTACAATCAGCAAGAAAATAAACAACAGAAAATTATGGGACAAGAGTTTTTGTTTTTTTTTCCTTCTTTTTCAGCTTATACCTGAGTAGGAAAATATCTGATGACATTTGCTAGGTTACCCCTCCAGAAAGAGAAGAGACCTTCCTCCCTTAACACCCTTTTAAAGCAATCACCAACACCCTTATAAGGTTGATGAAGCTGTCCCCTTTTTATCATCTCCCCTTGATTTTGCAACAAAAGCTTTACTCTTTCAATGGGTGCTGCTGTGCTCTTTGACATTACAGCTGCCATTCCAGCCATCACAAAATCCATTGAAAATTTCTCTGATTCATTCTTACCCATTTCCATCTTTTCTCTTGTCTATCTACAAATGCCAATATATTAAGCCCAAAAGAGAAACCCACAAATTTCCATTGAACAAATCAACTAAGCAGAAAAAGAATACCCATACCAATTAACCATCCAAAAAAGAAGTGAAAAATTGGGTAATATGAAAGAAAATATAAAAGTTGAAAAGAATGGAAGTAATTGAGAAAGGAGAAACCTGTGGAATTACTGCAACTGAAGGGTCAATTCTCCAATACCAGAGAGAGAAAGAGAGAGGGAAGGAATGAACGAAGCTGAGAGACGGAGATTTTGGATTGCTGGAGTTCGCAAAATTTTAGAGGCAGAGGCAGCGGCTGTTGTGCTAATCTAATTAAAACAGAAAGAAAATGGGAAATTGCTATGGCTCACGTAACATTTGTTTGCAAATATATCCTTAGACGGAGTAGGGAAGATATTATTATATACCCTTAAATATTAAAAAAAAACATTGAATTAAAATTAAATAATTATTAAAATTTTTATTATTTTATTATAATTAATTAAGTCATCAAACATTTATTTTAATTCAATTAATCTCTTAAAAATCTATTTTTTCAACCCTTAAATGAAAAAAAAAAAGTTTGATTATGATGATTACTAATTTTTATTTAATAACAATTTAACTTAGTAAAAATAAATATTTAAAAACTCAATTGATTGTAATAAAATATATGAATTTAAATTTTTATTTACTTTTTATTTGAAAGAATTTTTTTATACCTTAACCTATTTATATATATATATATATATATATATTAAACTTTTGTAAAACCATATAATTAGACTTGGACAATATTTAAAAATATTTCTTACCATGCTATAAAAAATTGAGTATGAAAACTTATTTCAACACAATTTAAAAGTTTTTATTGTAAATATAATTATTATGTTATGTAATGCTCAAAGAAATTATTCTTTTTATCGTTTTTTTACCCATCCTTTTTCTCAATAGAGAAGATAGTTTGCTTCTAACCTTTTCATCTTGTCCTCTGTTGGGGAGTTTATGATTTTAACCAAACTTACAAAATAAAATACTTAACAATATAGCAAGATCTGCCAAAAAGTTAGAACTAACACCTTAATAATACAACAATATAATAAGATAGTAGATTTGATAATTTAAAATATGATAGTGATATGATATAAAAATTATATAAATAAAAGATATCATGATAGTATGATTTAAAATTTTAACAAAAATTATAAATAGATTTAACAAAATTAAAAAATATATTTTATATTTTTATATCGATATAAATTATAACATATAATTTTTTTAATAAAACACGACATAAATAAAATATTTTACACAACATCAATATATAAATTATCAAATCTACAAAATAAATAAGAATAATAAGAATGGACAAATTCTGAAATAACCAAAAGAGCAATTGGCAATCGATCCTTTTGGTTTTTGCAGCTTCTAACAACTGCATATGATACATATATATATTTATATATACATACATACATACATATATATATATATATATATCCACACACCCAACAGCATGAGAAATTACTTTAGTTCTTGTCTTACATCGTAGGGATTAACCAAAAGTATTATATATATATATATATATATATATATATATATCTCCACACACACAACAGCATAAGAAATTACTTTAGTTCTTGTCTTACATCGTAGGGATTAACCAAAAGTATTCCTCTCTTGCTCCCATTGAAACAAAAAGCTCTGCTTGATACTGTTGACAAACAAAGCTGTCGGCTCAAAATGCTTTTAGCTGTATCAAAATCAAGCACTGTTTCAAACAAATTGTTTTATCCATCTTCTCCTTGGGTCTAACTGAAATGATTGGCTAGGAGATATAGACTTCGCAAAATCTAGAGTGTATGCGGACTGCCCCTAGCTAGCATTCCCCTGGAATTTGAAGGTAACTAGTAACAAGGATGTCATACTAATAGATTTCAAACCAACTGATTGCTACAAAAATACAATCTAATAACATTACGTATCTCACTTTCTATTTGATGAGACAGTAGAAATACTTAAGGGCTTGTGGATATATATATTGGTTTGAATTTGTAGGAAATGATAAGCTAAATAAGACAAGGAAATATAGAGACGAAAAGATGAGGATAAAACTAAAAAAAAAAAAATTCAAATTCAGAATCTCAAGTTTCATTTGACTACGTGATAAAAAAAAACTTCTATTATTGTCTTATATTCATGTTTTATAATTAAATTTTTAAAAGTTCAATTATAAAACACGATAAGAGTCTCCTATAATTCATTATCAAATGAATCCAATGAACTTTTGCTAAAACAACAAAAATCCTCGCCGTCTAAAGGTCTAAAATGGATGCCTGATAAGTCAGTCAAATTACTAATTGGTTCGAGCCCTAAGCTTTTGCATAAAATACAGGTAAAGGTGCAAACATATCCCTTTTGCAGAGGTTCTTTTCCTTTAATAATAAAGTGAACATATATAAATTTAGTCCTGTTTAGATCGAATTATATATTTAAGTTCAAAGTCCATCTTAATTTTGAGAGGATTTGAAGAAAAAAATTTAAAATTTGTTAAACAAATTTAATAAAAATTTTAGATTTGTTTAAATTTCAAATCAGATTTTAAACAAAAAATTAATCAAAGCCTCCAACTCGACGTAAATTTACATATATATAATTTATTTATTTATATATATATGAATTAATTTATTAAAAATTAAAAATAAAAATTATATATATTTTATTAAAAAATTGTCATTTTTATATAATTTTTATTTTAAATTTTTACATATATAATTTTTATTTTTAATTTATATATATACATTAAATATGATTCCATTAAATTTAATTTAATCACATTTTGTAATTTTTATTATATAAATTAAGTTTAATGAATCAGTTTAAGTTTTATTTTTTAATTTGAATTAATTTAAAAAATTTTGAGATATAAAATTTTAGATTCAAATCAAACTTAAATAAATATATAAATTATTAATACCAAATATGAATCTGAACCAAATCCGAACCTATGATCACCTCTCATTATAAACTACTTCTCTACTAATATATTCACAAATCACATGCAAAACGAGAAAACCCAAAAAACTAAAAAAACACAGGCTGAATGGCCTATATCATGAATATACGAATAATTCATCGATCTTATCCTAGTATGATTGATATCTCCAAAACTAATTTGGATTCAAAAAATTCATTTAATTTGTTCAAATTTAAATTCAATTTAAATAAAAAAAATCTAGACTCAAAACAATTTATTCAAATTTAAAATAACCTAAAATAACAAATAAAAAAAAAAACTCAAAACATTAAATTAAAATAATTTAAACTTAAATTCATTTGATATTATGTCATAGTTATTTGGATTCGAAAGTGATCTAAATTTAAAATAATTTGAACCAAAATGATCCAGAATATTTTTTTTATCCAAAATGATCCAATCCCGCTCTCCCATCAATTCAATTATCAACTCGAATTGCAGCTAGTTACATTATTAGATAATATAACTATTCTGCAATTTTTTTTCAATGAAATAATTACCATAATTTTCTCGTTCCTTCTTATTTAATCCGTCATTGCCATGTTGTGGACGCTCGAAATAATTAAACCCAAAAATAGTGAAATTCAAAGTTTCATGAAAGGTTACTTCCATTTGTCTATTGTGAGGAAATAATAATACAGCCAAAACCATAACGGTTCCTCATCATCATGACAAGGTAAAATGCCATCGCCAAATGCCAATGCACTTGCAAATTTCAGACTTATAAATGGCAAGTAATTGAAAAAAAAAAAAAATAGAATCCCAAAAAGTTTTGTATGTATGTGTGGTGATGAAGGCTATAAAGCCAAAGTAGAGCGCAATGGAATTCAATTTCAACGTAAGCAAAATGGTAACAAAAAAGCTTAGCACAGCTGAAGCCCTTCACATGGTCTCATGTGCTTGTCCCCTCTTCCCTTTCCTTTTCTTGCTTCGTTTCCCCTTCTCTGGTTAAAATCTTTACTTTGTTTCTTTAAATATTCATGCAAACGCAACAAAACCCAGATCCCATTACCGTCACTTCTTGTAGGTTTCTTATTCACATCCCGAAAACAACCCCAAGAGTGTTTCCTTTTTCTTCTCTATTACTTTGTTTATTTTCTGCTTAGAGCTTTTGTAGAGTGAAGAAAGAAAGAGTGTGGAGTGATTAAATTTGGAATTTTTGTTTTTGATCGAATCTGAAGAAATGGGTGGCTCTGGAATCTTGATTTTGTGGTGAAGGTATTTGGCTGAAAGATGCGGCGGCGGGCTGCCGATTACCGGCGCCCGGTTCGTAGGAGGTTTTCGCATTGGATCTGTGCGCTGCTCGGGCTGTTTGTTGTTGCTGTATTGGTTTTATTTGTCGTTCACCATAATCATCATGAAGATCGGGTTGAGCATTCTGTTCATGTAAGGACATAAACAAGTCATGTCCTTTTTTTGTTTTAAATTTTTTATCTTGTATTATGTGTTTTATTTATCTGATGTTGTTTATGCGGGTTTAGTTTGGTGGATATGATTAAAAAAATTGTTCTTGTTAAGTGGAACTTTTGGGGGTTAATGCAAATTATGGAAATGAAAAGAACAGAGAAAAAAAAAAAAAAAACAAAGGATTTTTCTTGTGATTTTTAGGCTTGGAAGTTAGTATGTAATATAAGATACATAGTTGCTTTAATATAGGTAACCTTGTTTTTGCCTTTTTGGAATGAATTACAGTAGCTGTGGTGGATTTTTAATTTAGACTTTGGATTCATAGTCAATAGATTCTGACTAGTTCTGTTCAGAAGTTTGATATATGAGTTCCTGGTTAATAACATGTTGGCAGCCAGTGGTTGTCTGTTCCATAGCAGTGTCCTTCACTTGATTGCTAGTTATTGAAGTGAAACATGAGTAGGAAGTTAAAAAGTTAAAAATGCACTAGCCATTTCTTTTATGGAATTGATATTGACAGAGGATGGTTGAGTTCAGGGAGAGAAAGGAGTGTGAATCTCATACCATGAAGACTATATTCATGGTATTTGGGTGCCAATATTTTTTTTCAAAGAAACATGGATAGACTTCTACCTTCCAATTCTTATCTCATAACAATTGATATATTTTTCTGTGTGGTTGATTGTGAGAGTTGAATAGAGCTTTCAATTTCTTAATCAAGGTGAAGGATCTTTTATTCAAGACTCATCCATAGGATATAAAAGCATAAGGTTAAACGTGAATTTTATATATGGTTCACTTTAGTTTAAATGCTAAACATGTACACTAATTCTCCCTTTTTAGTACGCTCGGTGTCATATTATCTTAACCTGGTCATGGATTGTCTACTTAGAATGAACAATCCCATGTGTGATCAAGCCGAACCTCGACCCACAGTAACAAAGGTTTATGGTTGGTACCTTTCTGAAATTAATTTTTACAGGAATAAACTGCATTACAAATATCCTGTTTAATGAGATTACTCTATGCAGCTTAACCTGCTGTTATTTAGAGCTGTTTAAGACCAGATTTTAACAAGATCCTGACTTTAAATGCTTAAACTTCTACCCAGTGTCAACAATAAAATGAGCTTTGAAGCTGGAAAATTTTCAGGGACTGTTTTGTATCTCACCTTTGATTAAAAAAAAATTACGTAAAAACTTAATATAATTTCTTGTGGTGATTATTTTCAGTGTTGGATAGATTAGATGTCTGCACATATTAACATGTTACTTCATATTTTCTGTGTCTCTGTTTGTTCTTGGTCTTAAGAATTTTATTATGGGGGGAAATCTTATGAATAATGTTGAAACTACCTAAAAAGTAATCTTCTTACAATAATATGGCCGTTTTGTTGAAATCTGGTATTGCCATATGATTTATAGATGATACGGTCACATGGTTTTGTAATATTGGTTTATTGAAAGTCCTATGATAACTGAAGCCATAATTGCATGCCTTATTTTATTTTCCATCCTCTGTCCTTTAATGCGTTTTATGATATGGATATAATGAGCATCAACTCCTAGTTATTGAATGAAGGTTTACTGAAACTAGTGTACCATATAGCCATTTTCTTTTAAAATGATTATTGGACTTACTCATCTATGACATTTGCCCTGCCAGGCGGAAGAGTCAAGAATGGAGCAGCTTGTTCATGAGAATTTAAACTTCACTGAAGAAATATTGAGTGCTACCTCATACTCCCGGCAGTTGGCAGAACAAATGACACTTGCCAAGGCTTATGTCATAATTGCGAAAGAGCACAATAATCTTCACCTTGCCTGGGATCTAAGCTCAAAGATCCAGAGTTGCAAGCTTTTGCTTTCAAAAACTGCAATGAGAGGGCAGCCCATCGCACTGGAGGAAGCAGAGCCAATAATTAGCAGTCTATCATCTCTAATTTATAAGGCACAAGATGCTCATTATGACATTGCAACTGCAATAGTGACGATGAAAGCTCATATTCAAGCCCTTGAAGAGCGAGCTAATGCAGCAACCGTTCAAAGTACAGTGTTTGGACAATTGGTGGCAGAAGCATTTCCTAGGAGTCTTCACTGCCTAATTGTAAAGCTTTCAGCTGATTGGCTAAAAAGGCTGCCCGTTCAAGACCTTGCAAACGAGCAGAGAAACTTTCCTCGACTTGTGGACAACAATCTCTACCATTTCTGCATATTTTCAGACAATGTCCTTGCTACCTCAGTAGTAGTTAATTCTACAATATCAAATGCTGATCATCCTAAACAGATGGTTTTCCACATTATTACCAATGGGATTAGCTATGGAGCTATGCAGGCTTGGTTCCTTAGCAATGACTTCAAGGGTTCCACTATAGAAGTGCAGAACATAGAGGAGTTATCTTGGTTGAATGCTTCTTATTCCCTCGTTGTAAAGCAGCTAATAGATGTAGATTCACAGGCCTACTATTTTGATGAAAATCAAGATTTGAAAGTTGAGCCAAAATTGCGGAACCCTAAATATATTTCCTTGTTGAATCACCTTCGGTTTTACATACCAGAGATCTATCCACAGCTTGAGAAGATAATATTCCTTGATGATGATGTTGTTGTGCAGAAAGATATAACACCTCTTTTCTCAATGGATTTGCATGGAAACGTAAATGGGGCAGTGGAGACTTGTCTTGAAGCATTTCATCGTTATTACAAGTATCTCAATTTCTCAAATCCAATCATTAGCTCAAAATTTGATCCGCAAGCATGTGGATGGGCATTTGGCATGAATGTTTTTGATCTGATAGCCTGGAGGAAAGCAAATGTCACTGCAAGATATCATTACTGGCAGGAGCAAAATGCTGATCGGACACTCTGGAAACTGGGAACTCTTCCTCCCGGTCTTTTAGCTTTTTACGGGCTCACAGAACCACTTGATCGGAGATGGCATGTGTTAGGATTAGGTTATGATTTTAACATTGACAACCGCTTGATTGAGAGTGCAGCAGTTGTTCACTTTAATGGGAACATGAAGCCATGGCTAAAACAGGCCATTGGAAGATATAAGCCCCTATGGGAAACGTACATAAATCTGAGCCACCCATATCTTCAAGATTGTGTCACAAGTTGAAATATGCTTTTTTTTATTTTAATAATTTATTCAATCTTCAAGGATATAAACCCATCTAGGGCAATGGTGTTTATTTGTAGAGTCAGGAAGTGAAAATTTTGGCTTTCTTAGGAGATTTTATATATTTTTTTTAACTTTAGTTTTTCTTTTTCATCATAATGTCTTTCAAGGAAAAGAATGATTTTTTTACAACAGAAAAAGGTGAAGAGATGTGGGAATTCATTTTTGGCCGAAGGGGTTTTCCTTTTCCCCCGCAAACAAACTCTGGGAATTTTTTGTCCTTTACCAGTTATTATAATAATCTATCTGCTCTTTTGATCTATTAGCTGTTAGATATCACTTAGATATCACTTCTTAAAAATTGAATACGAATGTTTTTAGTTTCTACTCCAAACAAAGTAAACTATATGTCAAATTTTAGTAATATATAAAACATATTAAGATACCGCTTTCTTTCTATGCAAGGAGATTAGCTTGACAAGTAAAATAAAATGGCAGAGCACACACCATAGGAAATGCAAAATAAAATTTTCTTTCCAAAAGGAAAGGTTGGACAAGTAAAATAGGATAAAAAGAGTGGAAAAGACTCTTAATTAAGATTTTTAAGTTGTTGATGTTCGTAATTGCAAATAAAATTTAATTTGAAATCAAATTAAATAGATTAATAAAATTTAATAAGAAGTTTATTAATATGTAAAATAATTTGCTTTACACAAAAATATAAGGACGAATGGTACAATTTAATTTTATCTTTTCCTTCCTCTTTGTTTCTTCCAACCTAACACAATGGTTATTATTGCCTTCCTACTGCCCAAGGCCACGGAACCACAAATTTTCATTGCGGTGCATTGGTGGGGCACCCAAGAAACGTCGCGTACAATGATTCCCATTCACCTTCCCTACAATAATAAAAAATGCAATGATTTCCTATTGGAAAGAGAAGTGCAGGTATCGACTTCAGAATCCAGACAATGTGCAGAGAGACAGGCAAATAGACAGAGACTAATCGATCCTTTGTTAATGCAATACACTTTATCCTGTCCAAAACAGCTGTAACGCACTGACAAACTCATCACATGTGAATTAGCGTTTTATTTAGTGTATTTGTATTGTGTTCGTTTTATATAAAATATTAAATTTATTATGTTATAATTTATATAAATATATTAAATATAAAATATATATTTTTTATGTTTATTAAATATATATAATTTTTATTAAAATTTTAATTTTTATCATTTTTACATATTTTTTATATAATTTTCGTGTTACTGGATTATATTTATAAAATTTATTTTGAATCAATTTTACTTATTAATTTTATATTTGGCATAATCTTATATATTAGATAGTCAGGTGAAATTAGAGATGTAAATGATACATTAGTACTCGCAAGTTATTCAAATTTGATTCGAAAAAAATTCGAATTCGGTTCGATTATTGTCGAGTCGAACTCGAGTTCGAGTAGCTCGACTTATCGATCGAACCAAATTCGAGTATTATTATATCTGATTCGAGTAACTCACGAGTCTAATCGAGCTTTTATATTTAAATATATTTTTATTATTTTAATTAATAAAATATTTCGAGTCCGAGTTCGAGTTTGAGTTCGTACATGAATAATTGAATTTTTATCGAGTATACGAATCGAACTTATTTTTATATATTAATCGAGCTTAATCGAACGAGCTTGAATAGCTCGAATTCGATCACGAATCGAAGCTCAAGCTTGAAAAATAAAACTCGATCGAACTCGAACCGAATATCGAATCTCGAATTGTGAGTCGAGCTCGAGCTTCTCACTACTTGACTCGGCTCGACTCGTTTACAGCCGTAGGTGGGACACTACCAAAAATAAAAAAACAAGCTAAGTGCGAGGATGTTTAACGACAAAAGAAGTGCGTTTTAAAGTTGCTGCCACACCTTTAACTTTCTCTCCATTGATGAGGAGGTGGAGTACTGAAAATGCAAAAAGACAGTGACGCAGTGAGTAGTCTATTCTTTTACTCTGTTCCATTGATTGGAAATAAATCATCAGCCTCTCCAAGGCAGTGGTAATCCGTTCCTCAGTCTCCATGGCAACCTCACTCGCTTCACAGGAAGGCAACAACTTTGAGGTTAGCAATGAGAAAGAAGAAGAAGAACAAGGCAACCCGCAGAGAGCATCTGAGAAGATCAATGAACTCTTTTCAACACTTCCCAAAGGGAAAGGTTGGTGGGCTGAGCATCTCTTTCATTACCAAGGCTTCTGGCTATCAAACCGTGCGCTGGAAGGACTCCTGTTGATTCAAGACAACTTCAAGCCTCAGCCATCCGACATTTTCTTGGCAAACACTCCAAAATCCGGTTCCACATGGCTTAAAGCCCTCCTTTTCAGCATTGTAAACCTAAGCCGCTACGACTTCAGCTCCCACCCTTTGCTCAACACTCCTCCTCGAGACATCTTTCCTTTCTTGGACTTCTACTTCCAACAAAATAAGCCCATTTCTGATATCGAGTCCCTCCCATCACCTCGCCTTTTTTCGAGTCACTTGCCTTACAATTTGTTTCCAAAATCCATCACTGCCTCTGGCTGCCGCTTTGTGTCGATTTGGCGTGACCCAAAAGATGTGTTTGTTTCCCAGTGGCATTTCATGAAGAAATTGAGGTCCAAAGAATTGCCAGCGGTTTCAATGGAAGAAGCATTCGACTTGTTCTGTAAAGGGGTCTCACATTACGGACCTTTATGGGATCATATGTCAGGATATTGGAAAGCTAGCTTAGAATCGCCAGAGAAAATATTGATGTTGAAATATGAAGACATGAAAAGGGAGCCTTTGGTTCAAGTCAAGAGATTAGCTGAATTCTTGGGTCAACCCTTTTCTATTGAGGAAGAAAATAAAGGGGTCGTGCAGGAAATCATAAACCTGTGTAGTTTCGATAGTTTGCGCAATTTACAGGTGAATAAAACTAGAGACGGCCCATCAAACGAAGGCCGGCCTGTCAAGAATCCTGATTTCTTCAGGAAAGGAGAAGTTGGAGATTGGAAGAATCATTTGGTAGCTGAAATGGCAGAATACATAGACCAAATCATCAAGGACAGGCTATGTGGTGGAGGGTTGGCTTCTGGCTTCTGCCCCTAGACAAGGGATTTATATAGGGTTGGCATCGGGTCGGATTCGGGGTGTGTTTTGCTCGCCTCGAACCCGACCCTACCCGAAAATTTTTTTGATTTTTCATACCCGATCCTGATATCACGTAAACCACACTCGATTCGATCCGACTCGAATTAATAAAATATTATTTTTTAAATATAAAATATTATTTTTTAAATATAAATATTTAAAAATATTATTATATAAATATATATATATATAATAAAAATTAAATAATTAAATTTTAAAAAAAATTTATATAATATCGGGTCGGGTTTTAGACAAACCCGACCCTGACTCGACCCCCACTGTTTTCCTTATTTACCCGACCCAACCTCGAAACCTGAATTTCAAAACAAAATCGACCCCGTGGGATCGGGTCGAATCGAAACCCGTCGGGGATGGGTTAGCTCGCCATCCCTAGATTTATATGCCTATCTAGCTTAATAATGCGATCAAGTTCTCCTTGATCTATGTTTGATTGTCCTTTGTGCTAATGCTTGAACTGCATCTCAAAATTAAGAATAAGAATCCTGTCAATTAATGTTTGGTCTTGATTTCTTTTAGAGTGCTTTCGAACCTAATAAACTTCATGCAGCTCTCCAAATTAGTTCTTCAACGTGTCAAATTCATTGAACGCAAGTAACACAACACTAGTCAATTTAAACGGCACACAATGATATCATATGGGAATGATATAAAAAATATATTAAAATAATACAATTTAAAATTTTAATTAAAATCGTATATAAATTTTTTTAAAAATAAAAAATTATGTTTTATATTTAGCAACATAATAATTTTTATATTTCACACATATAAAATAGACAAATAAAAATATATAAATTATCAAATCTAACAAATACCAACTAAACTGACATTAGTTGATTAAATTGTTCGGAAACATATCATTATTATTCATTTTAATTCTGTCTCCTCATTGTCCAGAATAATTTTTTTAATATTAGCATTCAAGGCTAGAATCTAATCGATCGATCAACATTTCATGCCACAAAATTACAACAATAACACCAACTATATGAACCTTTAATCATGTTTTTAGAGCATTCTTCCAGCCTTCTTTACGACAAATAAATCCAAATAGCTAAAACTCATCAATTGCTTACTTTGATGGAGAATCCGGCCATATGCCAATTTCTGAATATCCATCTTCAGTAGCACAAGCACGAAACATGCCGGTGGTGTTGAAGGGCATGGTGACTTCTCCAGTGGAAGACACAGCAACCAACCCAACATTGCCTGGTGGAACTTGTTCTACAACGTAAGCAGCAGCTTCCTTGAGGGAAAGACCTTTGAACTCCATAACAGCAGCAACATCCCTTGCAACAGTACCACGGATTATCATTTCTCCTCTGCCTGTAGCGGAAACCGCACAAAGATGGTTCGCATAAGTCCCTGCACCAATGATTGGTGTGTCCCCAATCCTACCCACCATTTTGTTCACTAGTCCACCAGTAGATGTTGCAGTAGCCAAATTCCCTTCATTGTCAACAGCCACACATCCAACAGTGCCAATTTGGCTATCAACATCAGCACTTGCAGCATCTTTCTTCACCTCTTTTTGAATTGGTTGAGTGTAATCGATCTGCAGATTCAAACAAAGTCAAAGACTTAAATCCAAAGCATTAAGGTACTTCATCAGTTAAAAATCAAGCTTTGGAGAAGAACAAGTTGAATGCTGGGGAAACTGTTATCAACGTATGATAAACAGGTAGAAGAATTTTATTTGATGCCATACTCTAATATTTCAAGCAGTAAAAAATGTCTGATGTCCCAAGGCTTTAAAAGTTATATTTTGTAAATATGGTAAGAGAACTAGACAGGTTGAACTTGGGTGCTTGCCAGTCCAAAAGAATCTGTAATAATAGCAGAGGCAAACACTGCAAAGATGTCTGAGGTAATGCAGTTTTAACACACCAAGACTATTCAAAAATAAAGTTCTGTCCTCTACATGGGTAGGGATATAAGAAAAATACCTGAACTCTATTAGCTTCTTGTGCCAGCTTAAGCCTTTCAATGTTTTCTGGAGTGATAAAATGGCTCGGGTCAACAGTTTCAAGACCCTGACCGATACAAAAGAAAACAGACATAAAAAGGCTGATAATAATCATGTAGTAGTAATTCAAAGCAATGAGCACCATCTATCGAGTTTGATGTAACAACAGCTGAACAACAAAGCATCATTTCAAGCTCCATTGACATGTTCTCCTCCACTTAAATTGAACAAGAAAGAAGACAAAAATAACATAGTTGATGAACTTGGTTTGGTTATCCATCAAGGTTGTAAAGGGAAGGCCACAAGAAGAGAAGTAAAACTGGCCTAAAGAAACATACGTTGCCAACATCCTACATATTAGAGCCATAAAATTCTAACATTTTAAAATCTTTCTACGTTTACTTCAATAGGAACAAAGTACAATGAAGTACTTTACCAAAGGCAGGCAACAAGGAACTGACAAAACCAAGGTTCAGTTTTTGACAAAATTTAAGAACAGACCTGAGAGACCTTCAGACACATGGATCTTGAAAGAACATTAGCAAATCAAGTTTGCTTGTCACTTACATGTTCCCTTGCAAAGGCCTCAGCACCATCAAATGCTAGATAAATATGAGGAGTCTTCTCCATGACTAACCGTGCAAGGGATATAGCATTAACAACAGTGCTGAGACCTGAAACAGCTCCACATTTTTTTGTCTTGCCATCCATGATGCAAGCTTCCATCTCAACTGTACCTGATGTGGTTAGGACGGATCCCTTGCCCGCATTGAAATTTTGGTGGTTTTCCAGTTCACGGACCTATATGTGGCAAAATTTGACAGTAGCGTATGATAAATGAAACATAAACCATAACTCTTTAAATTCTGCTTACTAAAAAAATCACTTTGTTTTGTATAAAAATAAAATCATGCACTTTGTTCCCAGAAAAAAAAAGGAAAAAAAATCAACTCCAATCAGAACATCCATTGGTCATTTCGGAAATCTCCTTTGGCAACAACTATATATTACCAAAAAAAGTACCGGCTATTTGGCATAAACCCAGATCAGAAATGCAATCAATGAATTTAAAAGTAAAGAAGCATATACCACAAGTTCAACAACATCCAAGGGGTGCTTATGGGCTTTGAGAGCGGCGATGCCAACGTCAAGACAGTGACGGAGGGCGGCTTCACGAGGGAGGCGGTTTTCTGGGGGCAGAGAAAGTGGTATGTCACCAGCGCCTCCATGAAGAGCTATTGCCCACCCCATTTTTGTCTGTCACTCTGTTGGTCTCTCCTCCTTTTAGTCCTTCGGCCCCCTCCTCACTCGCTCTTATTGACTTCTGATCTTTCTTGATGGTATTTTATAGTTCACAAGAATAAAGAGTAGAAAGACAGTGCTTTGTAGTTTGTGCCACCAAACAAAAATGAACGGAAAGAGTGCGTCATTGCTTTTTCCTAATTGGTCACCAGTTGAATCAAAGTGCATCCACGTATAACCTAAAACCTGTATTTGCGGCTAGATTTTTCCTTGCTAAAGGGGCTAACAAAATGACAACTTGGCTGGGAATTGACTGAATAAATAGAATATTTACTTATTCACCCACCAAAACGCATCAGCACTATGGACTTGCCATTCTCTGTTGAAGTATTTCTAACGTTCCAATGGCATAGAATAGGAAGTTAGGAACTAGGAACACCTGACAATTGAAACATAGTTTGTACTACCATGTAAATAACCCAACTAAGTGTTGTATTTGATTTATTTGGGATAAGATTCTTGTCACCGTGAGTTGGAGTTTCCCACATATTCGCACGTTGTTGTTGTTGGAAATTTGTGCATAAGAGTCTCTTCAACGTGAGTTGAGAGTTTCGATATATTCCTAGGTTGTTGGAATTTCGAGATTTGGAGTTGGAGTCTTGTTCTTGGCATTTGGCAAAGCCAAAAAAAAAAAAAAGAGTTTTCCTATTGTCATAAAGAAAATTTCATATGCCCTATTAGCTCGGTTAGAGCGTCGTGCTAATAACGCGATCGCACGTTCGAAACCTGCATGGGCCAAATAAGTTTTTTTATAGACTATTCTAACCCAATTTAGTGTTAGATATTAGTCTGCCTTCTTTTGCTACCTGTTATATATTACCAAAGAATTTTCTATTTTCTTAACGTCTATAATTGAGCTTAATTAAACCATGAAAAGCGAACTCTAACTTGGCCTATTATATATTATTCGAGTTAAAAACTCCAAGCTTCATACAAGCTTAGAAAATACAGCTTTATGTTTGTCAATTTCAAGCAGGAGCTAAAATTTCAATGTACTTGGATAGTATAAAGTAGCCCCAAAAATATGTAAGCCTATAAAGGAAAGAAGCTTATAACATATATATATATATATATAGATATACATACGCATAAAAATTAAAGTGATTATTGGCGTTAGGATAGTAATCACAAACAATGTCTGATTTCAAACAACAACAACAAATTAATTCTGAAGATGTTGGTTAAACCTAGCAGCTGGTAGTTTTTGGGATTGTGGGGATTTGAAGATGAAGAAGATCTAGTAGGCCATTGGCTGCATCCTTATTTTGAGAGTCGAACCTTTATAATCAAGATGGCTGCGTCCTTGTTTATGAGCTCATTATACTCATGACTAGCCAGATTCTGAAATAGACAAGATCTATAAATATTAGTACAGTGGTGAGACAGAAAAAAAAAATATATATATATATATAACAAACAAACAAAAAGCTTCTGAGAATTAAGGCAAACCTGAAAGCAATTTGGGCAACCTGTGTCTGAGTAGCAACATGTGAAAAGTTCCAAATCAGAAAGCAAAAGCTCTGTAAAATATGGCTGGATCTGTCATATATTATAACGATCTTAATGAGAGAATTGGATGCAGTGATTGGATATGACGTCACTTTGCTACACGCTTAGCCATTTAATTCTCTGAGTATATAACAGGCATAATTGGTGTTTAGTTTAGTCCTATTATACTTTCTTTTTGGGATGATAGATTTTCAACCCAATTTTTGTAACAGTGAGTTTTTTTTTTTGGTCAAATTGGCCCAGTATGTGAAAATAAAGAGAATAGTAAAAATAAGTAAAAACAGGTTGCCAACTATTTCCTCCACAAATTTCTCTCCATTTTTACCATGTGTGAAATCATAACCGACCCTTCTCGTCATCATGGATTCACGCTGTAACTCCCTTAATTCATTTCATGCATTTCTCTGATTTTCAAATTCAAATGATCATTTCCCTCTTCCAATTCAACCTCTGTCTGTCTCTTCCCCTATCAAACTGTTAAGAGAAGAATAGGAAAGACTGCAAAGAAACATAAAAAAGGACAAAAAGAATGCGCACTCCTTGGACACTGACAAGGTTTGTTAGATGGAGAGTAAAGGACTTGGCTTCATGTTTCTTGGCTTGCAGGTTCCCTTTAGGTAAAAAAAACTGATAACTGCTTTTACCCAATTTCATTTTTTTTATTCCTCTGTTTTAATCTTTGTTTAACTCTTTAAAATCTTTATATACCATTGTCAGGAGACTTCAAAGCTATTGTAGTAACCTGACCATATAAAATTTGTATAGAATACTAGGAATCTTGATGATCATAAAAGTTTATACGTTGCAGAAGAAGAACCAGAGATACATCGATCTTCATCGCCTCAACTTCCAATCAGAAACATGGTTTTTGAAACCAAGGATGAGACCAGAGACAAGAAGAGGAACAAAAGACTGTCCCGGAGAAACAGATGCAACAATGATAGACAGCTAAAACAGAGTCCAACAGTGTCCAGGATCGATACTCCAGTAGAAAATGGGAATGACAACTCAAGCTGGCCACGTTTTTCTGATGAAGAATATATAGTCTTCTGCTTTAGAGAAGATGGAGCCTTCGACGTTGTGATGGATAATATCAAATCCGAAGAATCATCACTGCCTGTTAATCGAAAGGTCAGCTATGGATTGCAATTTATTTTCTTTCTTCCTTCTGGCTTTTCCCCTAGTTTAAAATAACTAAACAATTTGGTTGGCAACAGCTTAATTATGCTGAGGTTAAAGAAACAGAGAAGCAAAGCAGTGATAAGGGAAGATCAAATGAAGTTGGAAATGAGGGAGAGATCATTCCTAACCGAGGGACGGTTTCTGTTGAATCAAGTGACTCTAATCAATCTGATGGCAGCACAGGATCCTTTGCCTTTCCTGTGTAAGTATACGAGGAGAACTTTGGATAATTGATTGGTTAATAATATTATTATTATTTTCTGGTACTAGTTTGCTTTGGTGAAATACTACTGTTGCAGACTGGGATGGGAGTGGATTGGAAGTCCAGTGCAAATGCCCAAATCAGAGGGCACGAACCCAAGGAAAAACAAGGCCCCCTCTGTGCGTTTTCAATGTTTTAGATTCTGATTGTCCTTCTGTCCTCTTTCAATTTTTTTGTCCGGCAGAAGATTTCATGAAGATAGTACATATGTTTTTATCAGATATATAATCATAACAGTTACGATCTCCTCTCGTTCAATTTGGTCAAAACCAAATTTTTTTTAATGCCCCTGCTTTGGGATGAGAATTACAGGTATATATGCAAAGTTGCATCAAGAGCAGCCAAATGGAGAGGCAGCCATAGTAATTAGAGATGATGCCTTGCCGGCCAATCAATGATAGCAATGGTATCCAACACCCATTGTAGTCAAAAACGTCAAAGAGATTTTTACTTGTTCATACAAAAGCACCCCCTTCATATACTAGATATTTGAAAACAGCCATATAAACATACAATAACGGCATATATAATGGTAAAAGAAAATGTTACAGAAGCAGCCACCAAGTAAAAAAAGCAAGAAGGTTAATGCTAGTGCTACAGCATAAACTGATAATGCCAATACATTAATGAGATCGTGTGAAACGCTTCAGGCTTACGAAATCTTTATATTGCTTTCTTCCACACCTTCTGATCTGAAAAGAAATGATTGAAGATATAACCTTGCACTGGCTGCAGCAGCAAGGGATGCTTCATCTTGCTTCTCTTTGGCTGCAGCTAGAGCAGCAACATAAGCTTGTGTTGCTTCTTCCATTTTCTGCATCTCCTTGTCATCTACATCATCCTGTTTATACCAAAAGCGGATATTTCATGACTAGACAAGACAAAAAATGAATCCACCAGACTTTATGGGCTTCAAAGTAATGATCTTTGTTATCACAAAGCAATAGTAGCCTTAAACTACAAATACTTTCTAGCAACTTTGTCTTATGGCAAATCCAAAAGAATGAAGTGCCACGAATAGGGGGAAAATGGTTTTTAAGAAACAAGCCCTTATAAATGCTATTACCAAGTAATGCAAAACAGCAGATATTTGGACCTTTATGCTCTTCTACCATATATAACCATTTGATATTTTTGGACAATGCAATTTAAAAATAAAAGCCAGGAAAAGTCAAATTAAAATAATTTGATGTCAGGCAGAGGATAGTGAGCTTACTATATAAGGGAGTTGATCCAAACAATATGGTGCTACTTCATAATCTTCAGCACGTGTGCTGGGATTATTCTTTGTCAAACCATTTAATAACAGCATAAATGATGAAAATTCTCCTTGCATGGAGTCTATATCATTTTGCAGCTTCTCCACCTTTTGCTTCGACGTCATTGCCTCCCACTGTGTCTTTTCCAAGGCAGCTTGCTTGTCAGCAAGCTTAATCTGAAGAAAAGTATATTTATCAACAAATATAAGGGAACAAGAAGTGGTTTGCAATAAATTCATTTTAGACACACATTTCCATTTAGTAGTCAAATGACTCATAGGTCAGCAGAAATCACAAAATAGAAAATGAGAACCAGATATGCTGCAACCTTATATATTGGATGATACTCATACTTCTACATCAGATACTAAACATATTAATGATACTCATATTTTAACAATCAATTAAACCGACAATAATTACAAAATCATTCTAAATCTTCCAACAATACAGTTAATACTTGTAGTTGTAATTGCTTTTTCTATGTCAATTATGGAGTAATTTCTTGTGGTATTCAGAAAAATATAAAACTCATGATAAATAATATCTAACAACATAAGCTCCAAGTTTATATTCATGCACAAATCTTGCTGCCTCCATCAAAGTTTCAAAGATAAATATTGAGAAGGTAATTATGATGCACTAAAAGTTATTATGAAATTTAAAAAATATATATATAAAATTTCTAGCAGAAAGAGACGACCGATGTATACCTTGGCATCAGAGAGTTGCAGCTGAATAGACTTGACTAAAGAGTCCTTTTCAGCTGCATGTTGCTTCAGTTTATCAAGCTCTGCTTGAACATCATTAATCTGGTTCCTTGAAATCTCTGCTGATTTCAGAAGCTCATCTTTCACCTCTAACTTTCTTTGCAGATCCTCCAGTTGTTCCCTCAATGCAACTAACTCCTCATTTTCTTTTTCTACTGCCAAAGCCCTTGAAGAAAAGATTGAGTAGCTGTCACCATCTTGGTTTTTAGTACCATTCTTGTCTATGTGGTCCTTTTTCTTTCTCACTGGAATGGACTGAGCTGTGTTCCTTCCTTTTATATCAGCAGCCTTAATGAATGAAAAGAACAGAATTATAGCCCATTCATGTAAAGAAAATTACCATCGGACAGAAGAAAAGCTATTAAACTAAAATCCAGGAATATCAGCCAAATTTTGACAGTAAAAACAATTGCATATAAGAATCGTTGAATCAAACACCGGATATTTCATAGCGCTGGTTAAAATCTATTGGTAAGACAGTTTTTTATTTCATCCCTCCAAGGAACTTACTTTTACACTTTGCTCTCCACTGACACAAATGTCTAATACAGAGCCAACTATGCCTAACATGGTAAGATTAAAACTTCAATTCACAAGGTGGGATGTTATACGTAAAAGAACAACAATCGCTAATCAAACAGAAGGGAAACAACAATTTTATTTGGGGATAGCCAATATGTCACCAATGATTAGTGACTACAGACTAATAGTTGCAAGTTCTCAACAAGACAACTGAAAACGGCAGTATAGCAGGTCTAATGAGGCATCATATTACAATACGAAAATCACCATTTTCCATTGCCTATGTCTATTCAGGTTTCGCAAAACAATGTGATAACTAGAAATTAGGAGGAAGATATGACATTCCAATTTCTCATAATCAAAATTCAAAAGCACATAATACAATAACATACTCCTAATTTCAATAAAAAATATATAAAACATAAAGATTTATACTTGATTCACTCTGTAAATACATAGTTACATACACAATCAGTGAATCGCAAGAAAAATAAAATTTAAATCCTTACTAACAGCAAGCCTTAGTTCACTAACAGTATAAGCCTATAAGGAATGATAATGTAATTTTTCAAGTAAATATAACATATTAAAATGAAAAAAGTAAAGATTTTTATTTTTAAATATAAAAATTCTTACTTTTCGGGATAGGGATTCCCTTGAAGGCGTCTTGGTATATATCATCGAACCACGCCTTGTAAATGAACTGTTTGCTTTCCGCTCCTGATCAAATACATGTTTACAAAAAAATTATTAATAAATTAAATTAAAAAAAAAACTTTTTTATAATTTTTAAGTAGCGTAAGATTATATAGACTAATTTTTCCTTTTCGTTTCACTTTTCTTCTATTTTTTTAATTTAAAAAAAAAAAAGGTAAAATGAAGTAAGAGGGGAGATTACGATGAGAGACTGAACGAGGGGTATCATCTCGACCAGGTCCTTGTAAAGGACGCGATCCACATTGCCGTTCGAGGAAGCCGAGTGAGTAAGTGACGACTGAGTTCGAAGGTGAGTCGGAGACGAGTTATTATCTACCGAAAGCCAGGATTTAGGGTCTCCGAAACCCGAATTGTCTTGTAAATCTACGAAATGTTGCGGCTCAAACATTTTCTTTCAAAAACAATTAAAAAAAAAAAAGAAAAAAAAAAGTGTGGAATTTTGAAAGTGTGAGTAAAGAACAGAGAAGTTAACTATGGCATTTTTTTGGTTTTTGAACGGTTACTTTCACGGACAAAGGAACTTCTTCAAACGTATTTTGCAAGGTAATTTATAAGATTACTGAAATACCCCTGAACTACCACCAAAATAACTGAATAATAATGCCGGCAGATAAATAAAAAAATGGCAAAAAATGAATAATTTCTTTACTTTTTTGGGGGGAGATAATGTGCATTTATATTTTTTCATTTTTTTTAAATAAATTACGATACATACTTTTGATATATAATAATAATAAACCAATAATTATGTTAGGGCTAAAAAAATTAGTGGGCATCAACTAATTATTGTAGATTATAAATAAATAATTCATATAAATATAAGAATATTTTAATCATTTTATTTACAAGTTAAGGTTTGATTTTATTATTTTAGCGGTAAGCAATTATTTTTTTATCAATGATTAAAAAAATTATTCGAGTCCAAATAATCTCAATTTCTTCTTTTGATTTAAAAAATTATTTTTATTTTTTTACAAACTGAATACCACAAAGTTTAATTTAATATTTATCACCCATATCTTTCATTAACTTAAAATTCTTTTAGTGAGATACCCAGTTTTTTTTAATTGAGGATAGCTCAAAAATTAAATCGAACAAGTAAATTTGATCTAGCCAAAAAAAAAAATTTGTTTTCCCATTTTATTACTTTTACTAATACATTAAATTTAACTTAAACTTACGGCAAAAGACTTAAATTAAAAGTGTTATTATCTTGTAAGATTTAATTGATCATCATTAATGTCCCTTCATTGTCAAAAATAATTTTTTTTCTTTTTTCTTTTTTTTTTTTTTAAACGAGGGACTTAGGGTAATGGCTAATGGGTTTGAGATCATTTATGGGCTATACACTTGGGTCAAAATGGTACACTCAAATGAGCATAATAATTGGACTTTTAAGGAACCCAAGCCTATCTCCAATTATTGATGTGAAATGGCCGAAGCTCAAGCCCATTAACCCAAAATAAAATATAAAAAATAAAACAATCTGACAGTCCGACAGACAGACTGTATCTCAAGCATGGGTACATGACCTAATGTCCTTTACATATTCACATGCAAGCTTATGTCCTAGGCTGGCGGTTAAGTTTAAAGGAATTCAATTCATTTATAAAAAGTACCCTTAACTCTTAACACCCAGAATTGAAGAGTTACAGTGGATGTAAATCTGTGTGTTTGGGTCATTTTTGTGCAAGAAAAGTTACAAAAATGGGTTAGGATCAGGCAGGAAGTACTAAGATACTGTTGGAGACAAACGTTTATGTTGCCAAATTGGCAGTTTATGGTTACTGAGTTTCAGTTTATGATTTTATGAATATTTAATGTTCTGAACTGTCCATTTATTTCGTTTGCCTTTTTCTTTTTCTTCTCTTTTGGAACTGCCCCTTTCCTTAAACATCAACTTGTAGGAGTTTCTAAACCTCCATTGGCTCCCTACCTTCCTCAGTGCATTTCAGCCTTTCATTTCCTACTCTGTTTTCTCTGCATTCATAGTTTTTATCAATGACTAGTTTATCATATATATTTGCAGAAGAACGTGAACAACTTGTCTGAGTTTTTCCTGGGCTATTCAAGGTAGAACTGTTGTATTTTCTTTTCTTAACTTTGTCTGTGCAACTGTTCTTTTGTCATGTAGGATGGATTACTATTAAGGCAGGTAATGACATAACTGTTTGATTAATCTCCTAAAATATTTGTTTTTACAGTGAATAAAGAAACTTATTGTCAACAAGCATTTGCTAAAATCCTTATTGGTAATGTGACAAATTCACAAATCCACTAGCATAAAATTTGGGAAATTCCTTGTACAGGGTTGTTATTGCTATCTATGTGCCTTTTCTCCATTGGGCTTCTTTAAAGTTTTGTGCCATGGATATCAATTTTCTAATTCATACTTCATTGTAAACACCCAAATTCAGCTACTTTTCCATTTCATTCCTATCTGACGTGCTTTTCTTTCATTGGTCATTTAAACTTTCTCTGTGGTTCATCATTAATCCTTCCCTTTCTCTTTGACTCTCGAGGTAAGCAACTTAAAGGTGGCATTTTCTTTTCTAATGATGAGTTAGGCTATCGTGGTTCAGGTTGTTGTGTCATGTGTGCAGTCTGCTAGCTGAAAAAATGATATGGTCAGTATCCAAGCATATGCCATTAATGGTTGCTGCAAATACAGATTTCACCAATATTTGGTTTCTTTTGTCACTGACTTAACTAGACAACTATCCTGTTTATCATCATGTAGGGGATGATCCAGTCTCTAATTTTCAGTCATTGGAAATTAACCTTGATTGAGAGATGAGGAAGACTGGCTAGTGACTGCACAAACTAGTTGTAAACATACTTCATATCTTGTCAAATTTTTTATGGAATCTGACCTTTATTCATTTTGGTTGCTGTGGTTCAGCTAACTGCGGATATTTAACAGAACAATGTGTTTTTGCTAAAATCTAGTGCCAGCAGAAGAAAACTAACTAGGTAATTTTGTACAATATATAAGCACCTTTTATACTGTGAACCTTTTTACCAATGATTTTTTGATTTTATTTAAAATATCATTTTTTTCCTTGTTTGATTGCCAGTGAACTTTACACAGAATAGATAAGAGTTCTCAAATTCTTAGATAGTCATTACAGCAATGGAACTTAGGAAAGTTGGTTTTTACAGGAACAATTGCAGTGATCGGTATTGATGGATTGATGATGGTTTTAATTTGTATTTTTAATGTGGATTATACTCTTTTGATTACTACTTGGATATATTATGGCTTCAAAAATGCTACTAACACCTATAGTTGTGGTGAATTAACATTTCTTTGTAGTGAAGCTATCTACACAGTACCAACTATCAGATTTACCAACGGTTCACTTTCATAAATCTAAAAAGGTATAATTAATTGTGGATTAGCCGAAAAGGAAAGTTGAAACCTATATATTTTAAATTGAAGGGTTAATGTTATGTATTTGGATTGGAACTTAATTGGTCACTTTCATTTTTCTATATGAGAAGTGACAATCTCTTACCAAATTCCAGAATACCTATTCAATCATGTTTTTTCTAACTTTTTTTACTCTCTAAAATACCTTTTCCTTCCTCTTTTTAGTTATGCATTTATACTGTTAATTTGTATTCTTATCGCTAATCTAACCTTTTCCTTTTTGTACTGGCAATCTGTGCACCTCAGTAGCAGTCATATAGAATCCATGCTTATGCTTTTGACTCTGAAGTCTATGCAGGGATGAGAGCATATAAGGTAAAGACCACTATAGAAGTTAACAGACAAAAGGGAGATGGAGGAGTCAAGAACCATGGAGTTAATGATTTCATGGCTTGGAAGAATCCAATACAAGGGGCATCAAGTACTGCAAGTCCTAGTGAAGGAGAAAGAAGTAAGGAAGTAAACAAACTTCATAATACTAGCCAGTCCTTTTTGGCATCTGATGCACCAGAGCTGGTTGTATTTCTACAAGAGAGTGATTATCAGTCCGTCAAGGATATTTTCATAGACAGGGAAGTTCCTTCACGGAGTGGATTGAACTATAAGAATATCCATTCCATGTTTCATACAGATGTGGATTGTGACAGTGAAGAGGCCAGAAAAACTCTCAGGATAATGTCATCTATCTCCAATGAGATTGAACAGGACTTCCAGAATTATGTAAGGAAACAACTTACTCTTGAGAACTTAACGAAGGTCGGTGAAGAAGATTCTGATGGAAGAGATGATCATTTACTAGATAAGTCCACTGGGAAGATGATACCTGGGATGCAGCACGTGAAAGAGGTAAGAAGCTACATGCTCCCATGCTTAATTCTTTATCACCAAAGATAAGAGTGAAAATAATTATTTTATAGTTCAATCTTCTTCGAAATGATTTTAAGTTGTCTTAGGAATTTGTTATTTCATTCCATCAGAAGAAAGTATCTGTGATTTCAGCCATCTTCTATTTCGGCTATATTGTTCTGTGGAAGCAGACTACAATTTATCTAGGATTCAGATTCCACAGTCTTAAGAGTATGGTGGGCACCTCCATAGGACTGTGTGCTTAACTTCTGTCCAGGAGTTTTGCTCTCAGGCATTTGTATGATGGGAGCATATATAAATAACTGAGAGCCTCCACAGGCAGCATCTCTTACCAACCAGATGTCAAAACTTCAAGTACATAATTTATGTCAAACCATTGAAAGCTTCTTATTATTAGAATCTTAGCACATCCTTAAACTAAAGAACTTGTAATAGGAATGAGCCAATTGGTCCACCTTCTCCCATAAAACATAACTGCAGCTTTACCATCTCTATTGGTGATGAGTTGATTAAAACAAGTTGCAGAAGTGGTTCTACCATGAAACCTCTCATCTGTTACCTATACCCAACTCACCCCTCGCCCTTTTTTCTCTGGAAAATAAATAGGAAGAAACAAAAACCAAAAGTTTTGGAAAGAAAAGAAAACAAAAGAAGTCCCAATTCATAAAGGAGGGGATCTTGGTGACACTGAAAAAGAGTTTTAAAAAATAGTCTCCAGAACCTTTTTAGGTTTCAGGTTTTCATATGCTATTGTCCGCCAGTACATGCAAGCAGAAAAACAGGTCTCTTTTACGGGATTGCTTATGCTTTTGTGCTATGTACAACTGTTATTGGCAATGATGACCTTGTATCAGAAAAGATGATTGAAACCTTAATAAAACTCCATTTTTTGTGTGTTTTTCAAGCTTTGTCAAGAGGTAAGAGATTCAAATGTCAAACCTTGAGGGTGAAGTTGAAACATGATTCTTATCTTAGGTTAGAAATTACAGATTCATGAATTTCATCAAATGTACTATTAGTTGTCACCATAAATTCTATGCTTGGGAAAAGTCGTAGTTAAATGGAAACTTGAATTGCAATGGTGGTTAAGGTGAATAGTGGTAAAAGCTATAGAATAAGAAGTATTCTCTTGAGCCTTGACTGAGGATTTAACCATAGTTATGACTAATGTAAGTGTAGGTTGTTATGCCAGGCTATATTCTTTGTGTAATTTTACCAGCTGGATATTAATATGATCAATGATAGATACAGCATCTACTCTTACTTGATTGCCCATGCATCATCTTTTTAGTATGCAATAGCAATTCACCAAAGCATTTCCTGATTATTACATAAGAATATTCAGATTTTGATCCATTGAACACATCTGCAGTTTCAAATAGGAGATTCAATTTCATTGAGCCCAAAACCATCTTCAACTGAATCAATTGATGAAAATATCCATTTAAGCGAGGTCTCTTCTAATAGTGAAGCCGAGAGTGGAAGCACCATTCATCTTTCTGATTCGTCTTTAACAACCATGAGTAGCCTTGAGGAATTTTTAGAAAGTCCAGAGTATCTTCAGCCTCATATAACTGAGAGCTTATCGAGGACTGAAGAGAGGGTGTCAAGAAGCCTAACACTAACAGGTCCAAGTCAAAGTTCTGTTAATGAACTTGCTCGTGGAGATTGTGGTTCCTTTGCAGTTAGTCCTCTTTCAGGCACAATAACATACTCAGGACCAATTCCATTTTCTGGTAGCATTTCTCTGCGGTCAACTAGTAGCACTGCCAGCTCTCAATCTTTTGCTTTTCCCATGTAACTTGTTCTTCTTCATGATTTCATTGTACTTTTCTCAGTTATCCCTAAAAAAATGGTGGCTCATTGTTTGGCTTTCATAAACAGATTACCATCGGAATGGAATGGCAGCCCAATAAGAATGGCAGAAGCTGACCAGAGACAGCCAAGGAAGCACCAAAGTTGGAGAACCTGTTTTCTCTGTTGTAAATTCTGAATGCTACATGTGCCCTTCATTGCTTGTTTATAGGACACTATTTTATTTCCTCCTATCTGATTTTGTGTTCATGTGTATGCTGTGCAGGATTCCAATTATCATGCTATTGGATAAAGGTGTGATGTAAATGATAAACCTAGCAATGATGCTTGTCATTCATTTTTTTTTTTTTTGGCCTTTTTGACATCTTACAAATATGTTGTTTTACCTTCCAGTATTATTGTTTTTAAGTTGACAAAAAATGCTTTTGGTTTTGGATCATTGGTGAGTGATATACTTACTGTCAATGACTGATACAAAGTAAAATTTATATACAGTCAGTTGTGTTTTGTCATTTTCGTCGGTTTCCAATTCTCATCTGCTGTTCCAGAGTTTCAAGGTTTTTGACAAGTTTTACCTGACATCAATGAATAAGTCCTTGATTTTTATCACGAGTTGAACCAACCACAAATCGTCATTGTGCTCTCACTAACTGATATGATGATGGTCCAGTAAGAATCAGGTTTTGCAGCACTATCCTAGAAAGTGGATGATATTAACTGCAAACTTATGATTAATTATTCCAAATGCAGCTTTGTAATTCCTGTGAAAAAAAACTTGATTTCCCTGTTCATTTCATACAAGTGCATAGCAAGAGCCGAAAGTCGCTTGGTGGTTGCGGCGTTCCTCGTGCAGTTGACGGACCCGAATTCCATTTGCTTCTTTCACTTTCATGCCATAACTGCTTTCCTCTAACATGTCCAGCTAATATACAGTAATCTTGTCGCCTTTGACAAGCAAATCAATGCCGGCTCTTCACTTTCTGACTTTACACAAATTGGATTATTGCAGACATAATTTAGGTGGAGATCTTGTGATTTCACATTGAGCAAATGGTACGGTTCTTGAAACATGCAAAATCAAGGATCCTTGACACAGACATACAATCAAATCTGCGATGGATTAACCGCAACTGGGCACAAGTAATTCGTTGTCAATGATTGTTTCCTTAAAAGACCACTTGACCTTCTCTTATATGGCCCTCCTAATCCAAACCAGGTTGCCAGAATTTTCACCCTGCCCAGCTGCAAATCTGTAACATCATCATATCCATGATCAAATTCTACAAAATTTGAGGTCATTTCCCTGTCTGATGACAAGAAATCCATCTTGGCGCAAATTTTGCATTGACACAAATGCCATTCAAGTTTAGGCCATCTGCGCAAGAAATCAAACCTGAGACATGGGATCATTTGCATCAAGAGTAAGTTCATTATGAACCATTATTGGACGTGTCGCATAATCCATCCTAATTGCTGGGACCTTATAGATCGAGAAATTCTTAGTTGCTCAACCCTATGCGTTCCCAAACGTTTGGTGGAAACCCAAAAAGAAGGCCCCAATTTGGCAAACCATAATTGGCTCACCAATTGCACACATCAAAATCAGTGCTACAAACTTGAGGACCAATGGCCAAGACCACACAGCATTGAGTCAAGGACCACCTACATGTGCCAAACTTCGAGATGCTAATTTTCTGTCGCAATCCATGCCACGGTGTCCCTTTGGCCATGCCAAGGCAATCTTGGACACAGCATGGTCCATTGCCAGTGAATCTTTAATTGATCCTTCCAATGGCTATCAAGGCAATAAGATGGGCAAAGCAGAAGCATCATAGGTCACATATGGACTAAGGTGACGTTCGCTAGCCGTGCCCACGCTTTGATGTCTTGGACCATTCCATGGCCAAAGGCCAACCATCTCTGTTAGTCTTCAATTGGCAGATTAGTGAGATATTTGGGCAATGAATTAGCCAATAATTCACTTTCAGTACACCCAATAATAGCAAATTCAAAGAAAAAAATTAACTGAAATGGAGAACTTGCTTCTTTGCCTTAGAAATAATCAACGAAATCCCGATGAAAACAAAGGGCGAATCAGTAAAACCGTTTAACTGTGCTCTTCTAGAAACGGGGTTTAGGCTTTCTGATTATTGTCTCACTTTCATTGCTACAATGCTTTTTAAGAACTATTGGCGTGCCAACTAAGAGGAACATTTTCTATTTTTTTTTAACTGTTATATGCTATTTCAACTCTTTCCATTGGTAAAGACCTCGATGATTTTACTTTTACATAGTACCCTGTGATGTCCTGCGGTTACCTGCTTGAGTCTGGACCTTGTTTGGAGAATTTTGCCAGAGTCTCTGTCACCACATGGACTGGAACTTTGATTGATCAGGCTTTTTAGTTTCTGTAGTCTCTGGGTTAATCCAATACACATCATATCACACTGACACTCACAGTCTCACAGACAGTGATAGAGAGAGAGAGAGAGAGAGAGAAAGAAGATAATGTTTAAGAGGGCGGCAGAGACTCCAAACAAGGACAACCATTCACAAGAAAAAGATCTTTTTCCTCTTTCTTTTGCTCTTTATTGTTACAAACAGCAGCCCAGCAGCCAGCATAAAGCTTCACTCTGTTCTTTTCAACTAAGAGATTGGATTTTATATTATATATTCATTCTTTTCAGCATAAAGCTTCGATCTGGTCTTTTCAGCTATGAGATAAGACCCTGCTGGATGGGTCATTTGGTTAAGGTAAATGGCACTGGCAGCTCAGATGATTATAACCTGTCAAGCCAATGCCAGGTTTCTCAATCAGGATGTCGCGTAGCGATAGCCAGCGTTTTAATTTATTGGCGTTTTCTTAAAATAAATTTACAGAACCTTCAAGCGAAAAAGGGCACTTTTAATTTGTTGTATACTTGCAGTACAATAACGGATAAGAAGAACATCTAATGAAGGATTATTCATGAGTATAATTACATGTTTCGATTAAGCATCGGTAGTTTTCAGCTGGAAACTTTGACTGACCGATGGCGCTATCAGCAATCAGCGGCAGCATTTGGCCAAACTAGAAGGACAGCAGAGTAGCAGGATCAGTGGTGGTCCAGCCACATGCCTTGAGACCTCCTAATAGCCAAGTTGATGAATGATATGATAACCCCCCTAAATTTAGACTCTGTAGCAAAGGCAATCTCCTTCGAGGTTGTACCAGAACTATTACTATACCATTATTTCAGCCAAACTTCTCAGACTCCAAAGCTCAACCCTTAGCATTGCAAAGATCAATATCCCCAAAATAACCACATCAAATCCCTCACCCATTTTAACCCCATCCCCCCCCCCCCTACTGCCACGCCCCACCCTAAAAGTCCAAGGTCCCAAAACCCACATTTAACGTGCACAAACATTCAAGCAAATGATGCAAAAGCACTGAAGTCCATCCCATCATCAATCATCACCATTCATGTCCATCCAGAAACAATAAAATGTGGCAACGTAGTATGGCAAACTCAGTTCCCAGAAAAATCTGTAATCAAAATCAAAGGTCTTTGGAAAATGGTGGGATCACTCATCACACTTCTGAACCCAAACTGATACGTATTCATACGGGGGTATGAGACTTGAGACCACGTCTGCTTCTGCACATGCCTTGGACCCACCCATCACCAGTTCACCAGTACCCACCACCACGACCCACCTAAATTGCCACATCACCATAGCCATTTTACATTCCAATTTTCACATCCTCGTCAATCCACCATGGTGAGCACTAAAAATTTTCTCCCCAAGTGACTGAAGGAGAGAAGGAAGGACAAACCGCCCAGAGTCGAAAGAGTCACCCTACCAGGTTAACCCACGTGGCCTTACGCATTAAGACCATCTCCAGTCTCTCACCACCGCCACGTGGAACATAATCGCGCATGGGAATAGTCACTACCTTTCCCGGACCCACCAAACACAACAACCTCCCAACCGACTTCTCTCTAGGACTACAGGAGTAGTGGTACGCTCAACACTACCTCTTTCTTGTCCGTACATTTCCCATCCCTCCGCTTCGTCGAGATCAACGACACCGGGGTTATAATTTTCACCACCATTTTTCTCTATTATATCGATTAATTTAATTCCGGTTATATCAGAAACAAAAACCTTCCGAAAAAAAAAGTAGTATAATAAAAATTATAAGAAAAAAAAAAGAAAAAGAAAAAACTTAGTTGCACAAAAACACCAAGAAGATCAAACGAGAAACACCTTCCAAAATCACCAAAATAAAACTTAAATATTAGAAAAATATATTAAAAATTTTACACAATAAGAAATAGTCACATTCATATATCCATATAACTCTCTTCAGTTTCTTTTACCTTAAGCCTTGAGGCTTTCTTTGATTTTTTTTTTATGAGAGTTTTTTTCTTTTTAATAGTTAATAAATAATTTACGGAAAAGAAAAGGTGAGAGATAATTTACGGGAGATAAAGGGTAGGATGATCTTGATCAGTCCATTGACTCTGACTCCAATATGTCTGATCAACAACGTTAGGAAGATCAAACAACCCTTGATCTCCACTCCCTTGCCAATCCAAGGCTCCAAATCCACTCTCGGATCTACTATGCAAATTTGAAAGCTCAACTTGAACCGTCTGATCAAGCAATCCGCCGGTAATTTCCTCTCCTCCCATACTCATCATCTTTTGCTGCTGTTGCTGCTGCCACTGTCCTTGCTCAAGTCCTTGCTCAGTTAATACCGTCCCGAAACCAAACGACAACGTTTCATTGTTCGATGAAGTAATCAAGCTCGTAAAACTCCCAATCTCCGAAAATAAGCCGCAGTCTGATCCTTGTTCTAGCAATCCTGGCTCGAACTCTAAATTATTAGCGTTTCCATAAAACTTCGACTCGCTTACATTTATCAAGTTAGAATGAGATGTTACAGCCGACACCGCCTCCGCTGCGCCACCGGTGGAACTATTATTGTTGTTGTTATTGGTATTATTATTGGTCACTGCAGCGTTAGAATTAGCTGCAGTAAGACTTGAACTCTCGCTGCTAGAATGAGAATTCGATTTACGTTGATCATGTTGTTGCTGCTGTGGTTGCTGTGGCTGTGGTGGTGCAGAGGCGGCAACGGCTGTGGTGGTTTCAGATGAAGGTCTGGTTTTGGAGCGCTTGGCTTTGCGGCAACCACCACCGACGGGTACGTTACGGAGGACGCCGCCTTTTGTCCAGTAACGCCGGCAGCTCTTGCAGAAATGACGTGGCTGACAGAGGTTGTAGTTGTTGTAGTAACAGAATTTTGTGTTGTGAGAGTCGCAGCGTGGACACTTGAGTGCTTGATGGTTTTGGTGGTGATGCGGTCGTAACCTTCTGTCTCCTCCTCCTCCTCCGCCGCCGCCGCTGAATATGCGGTCACCTCCGATCGAGCGGATGTCTTGCATTACTCACAACAATTTTCGCTCCAAAATTTTAAATAAACAAATGAAAGCGAAATTTTCAGAAACTCGGAACCAAATCCGATTGATTTTTATATTAGTTTATATATACATACAAAGATTCCAGTGAACTTTTTGCAAGCCAAAAAATTCACGTCACTGAAGAGTTTAGTTGACGAGAGGAAGAAAAAAGCACAGAAGAGTTTTTGAACTTGTCTGCCAAATATCCCTCTTCATATCTTCCAGGAACAAAATTATATTCCAATTACGAAATTACCCCTTTTTGAAAACGAAATTACGTAAATTGTGTTATAGGTTGCGAAAGTACAAAATTGGGCTTGAGCAAAATGAGTTTGATGCGAGAGAGAGTAATAGGACTGATGGGGGATTTGGAAATCGAGTAGGTGTACGGAAAGAGAGATCGGGACCGTTGGTATTAGACACGTGGATGGTAAAGAAAGGGAGAGTATTGATGTCCACAAAATCAGGTTGTCGAGTTGTCGGCCACCCTAGTTTATCTGCTGGGACTATCCTGTTGTTCGTCCAACTGGTCTAGGGACTGCCCCGTTGCAACTGTTATTGGTGGGTTATTTAAAATTATACTACCATGCCCCAAAATTAAAATAAATTTATAGTACCAGGTTTACTGTACGTTCGCATCTAGTCAATCAATCTCCTGAGATTGCGAAACGCCGTAAAAAGAGAGCTTGGAAATTTATACTAATATATGTTATAAGTTATCAGTTCAGGATAAATTATATCGGTATTCAAATATTATATTGTTATAAAAAATTACGGAATTAAATCAATCCGACCAACGACTCCTTTATGAGATTTCAACTTAGAAATTTCAAAATTTTAAGAAATTTTTTTTTGCTTTTAATTAAGTAATTAATTGATTAAAGGTGCATTTGGATTAATTTTTTTTTTTAAATCTCAATTCTATTTTATGGAGCATTTGGATAAGCATGGACAATGTTGTTGAACTATTCTAATCTCACTGTCCTTTATGGTAATTGAATTTTTTTTATTTAAGACATTTAATTGTTTTTAATGTAAAATTAAAATTTATAGTAGTCAAGCAGTTAACTGCTTTCCCATGAAGAGTTAAAAAAGCAAACCCAAGAAAATCCCCATCCTAGGCTATTTCGGACGCTGTTGGCTGTACATTTTTCTCACATGTGTTTCATAATTATAAAAATATTCAAATTTTTTGAAATTTTGGTTGCAACGCATTATATATAAAAGTAATTATTACTAATTAATTATTTTTTATTGACATCGCATTTAATTTAATTTAAGAACAATTTCACAAGATACCATGGAGTTAGGTCAGAGCGAAGGCTATGTTGATATTGCTCCAACCCCACTTTGGGTCACAATCCTTGAGAGTCCTAACACTAATGAATGCGACAAGGATGCCATGATCTGGCTCTGCATTGCACCACTTATTTTCGGTCCTATGTCACTTTTTACATCAACATCCTGATAATTAGGCCATTTAAATATTTAGACATTTGATTTATTTTTTTTTTTACAAATAAAATTGTAATTTGAGATAAAAAATTCGTATTTGTAAGATTTTAAATTTTAAATATATTGAATATTATTTTTTAAACTATTTAAATAAATTAATTAATTTAATTTTTTAATTCTTTGAGATTATTTTTATATTTGATCCGTTATTAAAGGTGCCTGCTTGTTAAAAAAACAATAGCATGAGAGGCATGGACAGCATATATAGGTATCACAAGCATATTTTATTTTATTTTTTTTGTTTAAAGAGAGTAAAATCCTACGACAAGAAAGAGAAGAAAAGGTTTGAATCGAACCCTAATTTTATATTTTTTTAAGATATTTTTAGTCATTAAATCAAGACATTAAAGACTTATCATAAGCATTGTTGTTTCGAAATAGTGACTTCGAAGTTCATGAAGAATTTAATCATAGCAATATTAATAGACCCAAAAAAAAAAAAAATCATCTTTTGAGAGTATGAAATCCAACCGTCCTTAATTAAAAACTTGGATCCCAAACCAAACCATCTGATGCCGTTCGATTTTTGGCCTTTGTCATCGACCTGGAACCTATTTCCGGTAATTAATTTCAATTTAGTCAAACAAATCGGCACATGTGGTCAAGGTAATATTAGTCATTTAGTGACATCCTTGTAACAAAATTAAGAGCAAACGATTAAGCCTTGACGTGGTGCTTCATTGCCATGACAAGTGGCACAATGCTGTAGCTCGACTTATTAATGCACAATAAAAATGCTTTCCAACATAACTTTGTGTTCCATGTAAATGTAACTTAAGTCTCTTTGAGTTAATCATTTAGGGGAAGATTTAGATAAAATTTTTTATATAAAGTCTTTTATTAAAATAATTAAATTAAAATTAAAATTAAAAATCAAAATTAAAATTTTGTTATATAAATCAAGTGCTCAAAATTTTTGAAAATTATAATAAATTTTGATATATATTTTTAAATAGAGTGTTTAGTAAAAATGTTAATTGAATTTTACAATTAAAAAAGTATCGATCAAAGTTAAATTATAAAAAATATTTTTTATAATTTTTTTATATATTGTTGATTTTAACATTAAACTTTATTAATTTATCAGTTTGAAAACTATTAATTTTTACATTGAATTTTATTAATCTATCAATTTAGATTTTTTATTAAATCATTTTTAAAAAATAATTTCATAAATTTCACCTAAAATTTTATTGTATATTTTATCCCATTTAGAAAGAGTTTCTTTTACAAATAAATTCATATTTTAAAAATAATAAAAAAGATTACAAGTAATAAAATTTGAATTTTAAAATTATTAAATATCATATGTTAAAGATAATTACGTTAATCGACTTAATTAAATCATATATTTATGTATAAAATTTTTTAGCAAAACACATATAAGTTGTTTACATTTCTTAGTTCAAAGTGATAATATTGGATTTGGGCATGATCTGCTTAGTATGAATTGATAAACTCATTTAGAGCTTAAATAAAGTGATAAAAAGGGAATTGAATAAAGATCTTAATTAAGGTCGAACAGTTGTACTTTTAATTTGTTAAAATGGAGAAAAACAATAGCATACTAATGAGATAGATATGTTGAGTTATAAAATAGTGGTAGTAATTAATCATTGTAGGCATTGCGCAACTTTAAGTTTTGCTTTGGTTGGCAATACAATCAAAAGCATTAATGTCATCATTGTTTATTAAGCATTGTTTTTATGGGAATCATGTCAACTGCCCATTAACAGGCCAAATCAAGCCAATAAAAGCACGTAAGCATCCCCGAGAGGACGCAATCGCCCACCCTACTAAATCAAAATTTGAGCTTTTTTATTACATCAATTTAATAACATTTGGTGTTATAAGAAATCAATAATTGAGATATTTCTCAAATTAATTAATTTTATTGTACGTTCACGAAATAGTATATTTTGTAAATTTTGGTCCTTTATATTTTCAACATTAATTGCAAAAATTTACCTAATCCATTGTCTTTTAATATATGTGTCCATTCATCATATAAGACTAAAATATGCATAAATAATATAATGAACATATCTTAAAATTTCCCTTCAAAATATGTAAAAATATAATAAAAATTCATGTATTTATATCATGTAAAATATTGATATTTGTGTATTCGTATTATATTTTATATGAAAATTACATGTCATAATTTATATTTATATAAAAATATATTTTTATTAAATATATATATATAATTTTTTAAAATTTTAACCTATATAATTTTTATATATTTTTTATATCGTATTATCATATCATATTTTTAATTATAAAGATCACTCAATAAATTAAGATGACATCAAGCTTAGCTAAGACACACTTACAAAGTATGAAGTAAATGCTCACTCATGTTGTAGCAAATTACTCAAATTATATTTGAGAACAAACAATCAAATTCAAAAAAACAACACAAATTTTCCTAATGGGAGACCTTTGTCTAAGACATAATGTAATGCAACAGAAAAAAAAACACATCCATTGAAGTCTTATCAATATATATCTTGATCAATAATTCATCAAATAGAGAATGATGGAATTCGAACTCAACCCTTCAAAACGCGACCGCGATTGGCTAGATATGTCAGCCCCAAATGTCTACTTCCATTTAATCTTCATCTTCTTCAACCACTGCAGCATCAAAGCATAATACTTATTGTCAAGTTCGCACAAAGAGACGAGAGGTTTTCGGCCCCTCCACGGAGACAAACCCTAAATTTCCTTCCATCAAACAGTTCCAAGATGTGATAATCAGTGCAATATTTTTGGGAAGGTGTGGGGCCCAAAATCCTAACCCCTTTTCACACCCATCTATTGAATCTCGTTTGAAGGGATGATTGTTATCATACCAGCTTTGATGCTCAAATTTGGCTATCGATAGCACATTTGAGAGTGGGAAAATTGGTTAGGTGTTGGAGTACTGTAGTGCACAAGGACATTTTCCACGTCGAAATTGCCTGCCCTAAAATGGTTCATTAGTAATTATGCTTTATTTCTTGTTTCTATCTACTCAACAATAATAAAATTGTTCGTTCCATGTGTTTGTTTATGAAAGCAAAGGTCGATTTCGTATAATTGAGACACAAATTGTTCTTCATTTTCAAAATTTTTAACTCAATATATTAACCATGAATGTTGAAAACTAAGGGTCTTCTTTTTTTTTTTTTTGAGTAAATTATATATTTTGAAATCTCAAGTTAATTTTTTATTTAAAAAATAAATTTGATAATTTAAAATATAAAACAGTGATATAATATGAATATAATAAAATATAAAATATAAAAATGATATAATTTAAACTTTTTATAATAATTATATATAAATTTAACAAAACTAAAAAATATATATTTTATATTTTTATATCAACATAAATTTGATATATAATTTTTATATAAATATATATAATTTAATATTTTATATAATATAAATATATGAATCATTAAATTTAAATAAAAAATTAATATTTAGTTTTGAATTATGATAACATTGACATTTTTAACTAAAAGAATTAGACTAATAAAACTTTCAAAAAATGGCTGAAGAAATGTCAATTCAAATACTAAAGGTTGAATGATGAATTCAATTCCAATTACAAAAATCAAAGTGAAAATATTTCAAAATTTGATCTATTTATCTTGAATTAATTGGTTGA